TTGTTTTGGGGCTGCACCTGGTGGTGCTCAGGGCTTACTCCTGACTTTGCACTCAGGGATCAGTCCTGGCAGTGCTCAGGGGGATCATATGGAGTGCTGTGGACCAAACCTGAGTCAGCTGTATGCAAGGCAGACACCCTCCCCGCTGTACTGTCTATCACTTTAGCTCCAATACAGGTGTTTTCTAAAGGTTCTGTGTATTTGTATAAGTTGGAAGAACTATAAAATAAAATCAGCACTGTTGCACTGTCCTTCAGTTTTTCATTGCTTTGCTTGAGCGGGCACCAGTAACGTTTCACAACAAATTGTGAGATTTGTGGCATATTGAATACGTCACGGGGAGCTTGCCAGGCTTTGCTGTGCAGGTGAGATACTCACGGTAGCTTGCCGGGATCTCTGAGAGGGGCGGAAGAATCAAACCTGAGTCGGCCTCGTGCAAGGCAAACGCCCTACCCGCTGTGCTATTTCTCCAGCCCAATCAGTAAAAGGAGAGCTAGTCCAGGGATTAAGGCTCATTCCTTGCATGCGGGCCTGAGTCCCTGAGTATCGCCAGGTGCAGCCTGGGGGTGACCCTGTACCTCCTGAGTGACACTTGGGAGACCCCAAAATTAAACAGAAAAAGTCAAATTATCTGTTTAAAAGTGTCCTTAAGAGTCATGTAGGGCACCTCCTTCTCTCACCTCCCTTTACTCCATTCCCTACCTGAAGTTTTCCTCTGCTCTGTCCACACCTCACTCTGATTTTTCTCTTTTTCAGTCAAACTTTCCCCCTTCTATATTCCGTGGCCTGGCTCTCTGTTGTGATTTGGGGTTATTGCCTCCATCTCCCTGCTGGAATGTAAAGACCTGAAGGGCAGAGCTCTTAACTGTTGACTGCTACATTTCCAGCACTGGAATGGTATCTCATGTGGAACAGAAACTAAGTCAATATTTAAGGGACAAAAGTGAAAATACAAACTACAAATAAATGCATATAAAAGGAACCTGGTTTTGTTTTTCAAAATCCTTATGTGGTACTGCAGTACAGAAAACAGAATCATAGATGATAAGGAAGATGTGGAAGAATGAGATTGCAGGGACTGGAGCAATAGTACAGTGGGTAGGGCGTTTGCCTTGCACTAGGCTGACTTGGGTTCGATCCCTGGCATCCCATATGGTTTCCCCAGCACTGCCAGGAGTAATTCTTGAGTGCAAAGCCAGAAGTAACCCCTGAGCATCGCTGGGTACAACCCAAAAAGCAAAAAAAAAAAAATGAGATTACAGATTTTTTTCTCAGATACTTCTTGGGTTTTTTAGTGGAAGGAAGCTCCCAAGTAGTGTTCAGGAGGCCCCAGGATCCCACTAGCAATTCTCCACTAACTGAACTATCAGTTCAATGCAAAGGTCTGAGGATTCGATGCTGCCAAGCTGGGGTTGGCCAGGCTACCCTCCAGAACTGCATCCTGCTTATGCTCGGGGGACCATGTGGTGCCAGGAATCAAACCTGGATCGGTCACATGTGTGGGATGCACCCTAACTGCTTTCTGTCTCCCAGCCCCTCTTATATTTCTTGCTGCTTCTTTAAAAAAAAAAAAACAACCAAAAACCAAAATTAAGGCCACACATAGTAGAATCATGCAGGGTCTAATGGTTTGGCCCTCAGGCTGGTGGTATAATGCTGGGGCCGGATGTTGCTTAGAGGTACTTACAGTGTCAGGGATGGAGCACAGAGCCTTACACACACTAGGCATGTGCTCTACCACTTAAGCTACCTCACCCAGCCTTTCCCTCCATTTTTACAATAAATATTACTCCTCACTATCAGGGGGCACATCTGGCTCGGGCTGCTCCGAATGGTGTTCAGGGAACCATACAGTGCTAGGGATCAAGCCCAGGGTCCCCCATGCAAATCATTTGCTCCAGCCCTTTGAGCTCTCGCTCTCCAGCCCCAATCAGTAATACTTTTGAAGTGAAATATAATACTGTGACAAAATAAGAAATCTAGAAATTTGGTTAGGCTTAAAAGAAGGAACTTTGTTTATTTGCTTTGTGGGGAGATTACAGTGGAGAAAGTGACATGATTACAAAGCCTTTTTCAAAGTTTGATTGATTATGTTTTTGTGATCTTGAATTTTTGTTGTTGTTGTTGTTTCTTAACTTGCTTTACTTGTGAACTGATAGGTTTCTAGATATAGTTCACCTAATTTTTTTTTCCTCAGTGACTAGCAATGATTCTTCTGTCTTTCTTGTCCCTCTGGAGGGTTCCTTTTTAGGGAGTATTTCTAAAGCAGAATTGTGCGTGACTGTCATATCTGCTCACCAAGCTTCGTACTGGCATATGGTAGGCACAGATATTTGAGTGAGTTGTGTGAAAGTGAAAAGCAGGACACAGGACGTAGAGGCTGCCGGAACTCTGAGTGGAAGAGGAAGAAATGTAGCAGAGAACTGAAAGCCCTCCTGAAACAGACTCAGCTCTTTACGTGTTCTGAAAGGAGCCGGTCAGCAAAAGGTGTTCATTGAATTGCGGCTTCTGTCAGGCAGAATGCTGTTGTTCATCACAGGTGTAATAGAGTGCATGGTTTTACAAAGAGTTTCTCCCTCCAGGCAAGATCCATAGAGCAGGTGCAGAATCACAGCATCAACTCATTATGCTCTTGTTGTTAAAGGCAGAGGTGGCCTCATGAGATCCTGTGGGCATTATACAGCTTTTTTTTTTCTGCTAATCTATTTTTAGATTTTTCATCTTTTAAGAATCTTATGGGAGGGCTGGAGTGATAGCACAGCAGGTAGGGCATTTGCCTTGCACGCGGCCGACCCAGGTTCAATTCCCAGCATCCCATATGGTCTCCTGAGCACCGCCAGGAGTAATTCCTGAGTGCAGAGCCAGGAGTAACTCCTGTGCATCACTGGGTGTGACCCAAAAAGCAAAAAAAAAAAAAAAAAAAAAAAAAAAGAATCTTATAGGCATTTCTCGAACTACTAAAAAGAACATTTCTTTAAAAAAAAAAGAGAGAACTGTGGTTTTGCTTTTGTTTAAGATAGCTTGGGGCTGGAGCAATAGTATAGCGGGTAGGGCATTTACCTTGCATACAGCCCACCTGGGTTTGATCCCCAGCATTCCATATGGTCCCCCAAGCAGTGCCAGGAATAATTCCTGAGTGCAGAGCCAGGAGTAACCCCTGAACATCGCCAGGTCTGACCCAACCCCCCACCCCCCCAAAAAAGATAGCTTAAGAATATACTATGCATTTTAATGAATCAGTTAAGATAGAAAAAGGAGGAGCCAAAGAGATAGAACAGCAGCTTCTATCTCTTCTTGCCTTGCAAGTGGCTGACTGGGCTTGATCCTCAGCATCCTGTAAGATCTCCTGACCACACCGCCAGGATTAATTCCTGAGTGCAGAGCCAGGAGTAACCTCTGAGCATCACCAGGTGTTGCACCCCCACCCCCACCAAAACAAAAAGATAGAAAAATGATGCCATGTGTCCTTTCCCCGAAATAAATATTTCAAGGGGGATGTCTTATTGTTTGTTTTTTCTTTGGCCAATACACAGCGGTGCTTGGGGGCTACTCCTGTCTTTGTGTTGGAGTTGTTCCTGACAGTGTTTAGGGGACCGTTTAGTGCCAGGGATTGATCCCAGGTCACTTGCATGCAAAGCATGGACTCAGCCTGTTCAGCTCTCTTGCCCTACCCTGAGAAATCTTATTTTACTTCCAGATAGATTTTTCATTTTGATGCTCCTGAAGTGTTTTTTTTTAATAAACTCATTTATTTTTCAATAAATTTAAATCCTGGAGTGGTATAGCATACATTCTGTACCCAGTGGCCTTAGCAGGAAAGGTTGCTTTGAGATTTGGCTGTTTCCATGGGCAGGAGTTACCTTCCCCAGGATTACTGGTTTGCCACCAGGAATCTCTATTTTTTTTTCTTTGCTTTTGTCAGCATATCTCTTGCTACAATTCAGTTTCATCTTGAGCACAAATACATTCAATATTAAGATGAATTGTGTGGGCTGGAGCAATAGTACAGTGGGTAGGGCATTTGCCTTGGATGTGGTCGACCCGGGTTTGATCCCCAGCATCCCATATGGTGCCTTGGATACTGCCAGAGGTAATTTCTGAGTGCAGAGCCAGGAGTAACCCCTAAACATCGACAGGTGGACCCAAAAAGAAAAAAGAAAAAAAAAGCTGTGTGTTATCTCTGATTCTGAAGACCCTGGTGATAGCCGGCTAAAAGATCTTGAACCATATAGCCATATCTGCCATGCAGAGGTCTGGTAAGGTCTCCACAGGCTCTAAGGTGAAAAAAGAAACTGAAGGGTGTGGATTTTGGGGTTTTTTTTTTTTTTTTGGCTTTTTGGGTCACACTCGGCGATTCACAGGGGTTACTCCTGGCTTTGCACTCGGGAATCACTCCTCGGCAGTACTCAGGGGGACCTTATGGGATGCTGGGAATCGAACCTAGGTCGGCCATGTGCAAGGCAAACACCCTACCCGCTGTGTTATCTCTCCAGCCCCTGAAGGGTGTGGTTTTAATAAAGTACTAAATCCTAGTCTCTGCCAGGCACTTGCCCTGTGCTGGGCAGGATGAGATCTTTAGTGGAGCCTGTGAGAACTCTTCCAGTAGAGAAGAAGGTGTGGGGGAGAAGAATCCTTCCTTTATGGGGATCTGGGAGGCTTCTCAGTATAGGATTGACTCTTCATTTCAGTTGCCTATATTTCCAGACAGACACTTATGAAATGATTGCACTCTTATGAAAGATCGCTTCTGCATAATTCAAGATTGTCCTGGATCTCTCTCATCAGAGAGGAAGAAAAGCCGTATGAATTATTTACAGAGTACCAAGTTATTTCCCTTTATGAGCTCCGACTTTGTTTTTGTCTCTGCAAACTGAGATTTTGTTTATCCATGAATAGTTTTCCCTGGGGCATGAAAAATATGACTCTTTAATTATGAATGAGGTTTTTTGTTTCAGACCATGTTAACTAAAACATGCAAAATAAACTGTGTTTTTCATTAGATCCCTTTCAGCTCCCCACAAAAACAGAACCAACAAAAGAACGAGCAATTCAACCCGCACCCACCAGGAAGCCCACTGTGATCCGAATTCCAGCCAAACCAGGAAAATGTAAGCATTTCTGCCTTCTTTGCCTCCTTGTTCATGAGCCTGGGAGAAGTATAAGCTAATTTGTTAATGTCTTCTTTCAAACTTGTGTGTAATCACTTGTTATTCAAAGTCAAGGACTTTAAAAAACAAATTGTTTAGTCACAATTCTTTAGATAATTAGAACAGTAAATTTGAGTTTTATTTCTCTTTTCGCACTTTTTTAAGGCAGAGAATAGACTAAATTCAGAAAATTCTTAGTGTCTCTGATTAAAAATATATTTTTATATGTGTGTGTATATATGTTGCATATATACATGTGTAGAGATGTGTATATATACACATGTATGTATTGCCAGGGGCAATTGAAGCCACTTTATTCGCTTTAAAAACAAAAGATTTCCTGGTAGGCACTGAGTATTGATTTTTTTTTTTTTTTGGTTTTTGGTTTTTGCTTTCTTAAAAGGTGGCAATAGGCCAAATATGGGAACCTCTGACCTACATCAGCCCAGTGTTGCTTTGTGGGCATGTCCTCAAATGCCATGATAATCTTAGTTTAGGGGCTTGCCTTCTCTATAAAATGCTGAGAAGAACTGTATCCATTTTACTCTTTTGGTAGTATTGTTATTGATCAATGGCTCTAAGCCAACTATCAAGAAGATTGAACTGAGTTCCCATGGAGAATGAGGAAAGGAAAACTTTAGAGCCCCCAACTCTGGTGTGTTCTCACTTCGTTGGAGGTTACAATAGTATTAAGTGAAAGGACTGGTGAACTATTTCTTTTGGCAGCATTATATAGTTTCCCAAATCAGAAAATGACTGTACATTGAGCTGTTTGCCTGTTTGTCTATTGTTAGCTTAATAGATACTTTCCATGCTTAACAGGCATAGTGAGACATAATGATAATAAACATTGCTAGAAGCTAGTGTGAATTTTAAGTAATACAACAAGTACACTTTTATTTGTTCTCCTATTGTATTGAGGTTCCCAAGACCTCCAGAATTGATGAGTCACATAGGCAATATCTTTGCTCATGGCAATAATGTCATAAAAGTAAATGAAGTGAATCTGGCAAAAAAGAAAAGGCCTCTGGGACAAAGTCTGGAGGGAACCTGATGCGAGATTCTACATCTTTCCTGGCAGGTCACAGAATGCTCTTAACTTCCCCAACAACCAGCTATGACCACATGCGTGAAATATTATCAACCAGGGAAACCCATTAGGACTGGTCACATAGGCATTTTTTTTTCTAGAAATTTTGGCACATATCAAACTTCCAAATTCCTAGAAGACAAGTATAAGCCATACTCTTGTATCAGTTTAGAGAATGGTGAGAACTCTCCTGAGGTCCAAGTTCCTGGATGACAGCAAGGACTGACCTTAAAAAAGTCCTTTCCAAGGACAAGCAGTCCCACAAAGTGGATTACTAGACCTGAAATCCTGAAAAGGATATACTGAAGAAGCGCCTTTATTAATTATCCCAATAGAGCTCCAGGATATAAGAAAGTTGAATTTCATACAGCAGTGTATAAGAGCAGTAGAGTGCCAGAGAGTATCTAGGGAATTAACCTCATTCACATTAAAATCAGGTTTTTCTGAATTTTATTATTAGAGTCATTAGGTAATGCATATATGCTGTGGATTAAGAAAAAGACTTGGCATTTGAAGAATTTGAAATAGATGAGGGAAGATAGGAACAGCTTTAGTGGTACAAATTGCTGCCTCTCCTCAGAGCCTGTCAGCTCCTTCCCTAGGGATAGTTTCTTCTGTCTGGGGCTGCTTTTCCCCCTGAGAGCTGCGTGCTTCTGCCTTCCTGTCTTTTTGCCCAGGGCCACTTTTCTCACTGAGACCTGGCCACAGCATTATCTGAAACTGGAAATCCCCCTCCCACCTCCCCACTAACTCACACCAGAGGCCCTCTCCTCCTCTTCCTAGCAAAAAGCTATCTCTTCATACCTCTACGACTTTGTATGCTTATGTATTTGTTATGACAATATTTGACCCAAATAATTTATGTATTTCCTATAAGAATAAGGAAATTGGCACAGGTGAAATCTTCAGTATGGCATCTGAATTTTTCTACTCTGTTGGTTTTTTTAATTTCCAAAGTAGCCAGGGCTGTCTCTAAATGGTTCTTTTTCTGATAGCAGTTGACTTGGTTATTTTCCTCCTTTTGAATGTTTTCCTCTTTGTGAGTAAATCAGGAACCTGACAAATAATCCTCTTGTTAAAGGTTTCTCCTGTAACAAGGAAAATATGCATGAAGTGAAAGCATTGTATTCATTTGAAAGAATGAGAATTTCCCCCTTTCCTTTAAATTCTCCCTTTCTTAAACCAGTGGGTCTTAGTATATTACAGTCATCTTCTCTTGGTTGTTTTATGCAAGATTTTCACTGTCACTCATTGAATTTGCTTTTCTTTTTTCAAGTAAGTGGGAGTGTATTATCACTGAATTAAGCATGTTGTTTACTTGCAAAGATACTGTTAAAGTGAGGGCAATAAAAGTCATTAATCAGGGCCGGAGTGCAGTAAGTAGAGCGGGCATTTGCCTTGCATGTGGCTGACCCAGGTTCAATCCCCAGAATCCCATATGGTTTCCCAAGCACTTCCAGGGGTAATTCCTGAGTGCAGAGTCAGGAGTAACCCTGAGCATTGCCAGGTGTGGCCCAAAAACAAAAAACAAAAAAACAAAAAATAAAACCTCATTAATCAGTGGCTAATGGATTAGAAAATACATTTAACACTTTGGATGGAGGAGGACTGATGCTCCTGCAAGCCTGTTACAAAAGAACACAGACAGATTTAGGGTTCAGAACCTTCTTATCTGACCATTACTAGACTTAAGACCTTAAGGCTCACTTTTTTTCTCTCTTCAGCATCTTCATCTGCAAAATGGGTAGGATATTACCTTGCAGAGTGCTTTCTAATGGTAATGTCCACAGAGACAGAAATATTCTGTTCATGGCCACATGTGACTCCACATATTGAGCTTTAGATATATAGCTATTGTAACTGAAGGATTACTGTTTTCCTTAATTTATTTGTAGGGGTTTTGGGGGCCACATCTGGCCCTACTCGGGGACTGCTTCTGACTCTATGCTTGGTAGTCATTCCCAGCAGTGTTTGGGGAACATGCAGTACCAGACTTGCCTGTACGTCAGCCAAGCACCCTAGCCCCTGGACTGTTTTCTGCCCTCCATTTTTAATTTTCTTTGGTAGGTGGAGCACAGCGGTGTTCAGGGCTTACTCCTGGCTCTGTGCTCTGAGGTCCCTTCAGCAGTGCTAAGGAAACCAGATGGGATGATAGGGGTTGATTTTAAGTCAGCTGCATGCACAGCAATTGCCTTAACTCCTGTACTACCTCTTAGGCCCCTCAGTTTTTAATTTTAATAACGATTTAAATTCAATCACTGTCTGTGGCTGTTTAATAATGGACTGTGTGAATCTACCACATAGATGTTGAGCTGAGAAATATAGTGAATAAATTGCTGGTATGTAGAAGATACTTAATAAATGCTACCTGTTATTGTAATTATTTAGTATTATCTTTATTAAAAGTGTTCAGTAAAATTAGTTGATATCTGATAATTCGTTAATTTTCTGAGGTTTGTTCTGTGTAATTATTTTAGCAATATAATTTTTGTGTGAATTTTTTGTAATTCTCATTTTCCTAAACAACCACCGAGTTACAAACTTCCATGGTTTGGAACCCCGAAGACAAAAAATAATTAATGAATTACTGCTATTTTCCCAGGTTTACATGAGGATCCACAAAACCCACCTCCTCTTCCTACTGAAAAGCCTATTGGAAACACGTACAGTGCAGTGACTGGAAAACCCAGTAGTATTGACAAAACTAGAAACGTGGTAAGTGATCATTAAAGACTGTTATGGGTTGAAAACCAAGCTCAGCTAATATTTTTTTAATAAAAAAAAATTAATGTTGGGCTATGCCCATCCAGCTGCGCTCAGGTCTTATTCCTGACTCTGTGCTCAGGTGTCACTCCTGGTGGACTCAGGACACTCAGGACACATACAGTGCCAGGGATAAAACCTGGGTTCGCTGTGTGCTATCTTTCTGGGTTACCTGCTGTACTATCTTTCTCATTCCTCTGATCTAACTTTTTTTTTTTGGGGGGGGGTCACAACTGGCGATGCACAAGGGTTACTCCTGGCTCATGCACTCAGGAATTACTCCTGGCGGTGCTTGGGGGACCATATGGGATGCTGGGAATCAAACCCGAATCAGCTGCATGCAAGGCAAATGCCCTCCCCGCTGTGCTATTGCTCCAGCCCCGCTCTGATCTAATTTTTAATACTCAAATGATGTCTAAATTATTTTACTACTGCTCAGATTTTAAAAAAGCAACCTTTATTACAAATCAATTTCTAAGTCCTATGCACATGTTGGGGCCAGAACGATAGCACAGTGGTAGGGCGTTTGCCTTAGGCACAGCTGGTCCAGACTAGCCAGGTTCGATTCCTCCGCCCCTCTCGGAGAGCCCGGCAAGCTACCGGGAGTATCTCGCCCGCACGGCAGAGCCTGGCAAGCTACCTGTGATATATTCAATATGCCAAACACAGTAACAACAAGTCTCACTAAAGAGATGCTACTGGGCCCGCTCGAGCAACTTCATGAGCAACGGGAGGACTGTGCGACAGTGCTACAGTTCTATGCACATGTTAATGTGATATTCTGTAGAACTGCACTGTCCTCCCATTGTTAATCAATTTGCTCGAGCAGGCACCAGTAACATCTTACAACAAATTGTGAGACTTGTTGTTACTGTTTTTGGCATATCGAATACGTCACGGGTAGCTTGCCAGGATTTGCAGTGCAGGCGGGATACTCTCAGTAGCTTGCCTGACTCTCCGAGAGGGGCGGAGGAACCGAACCCGGGTTGGCCGCGTGCAAGGCAAACACCCTACCCGCTGTGCTGTCGCTCCAGCCTCAATGTGATATTCAATATTCTAAAAATCAAATATAGAACAAGTGAAATAGGTCATTTTATTTTACTTCATCATAAAATAATTTTGTCCTATACCAATATGATGGCATTACCTTTTATTTTGTTTCGATTTTGGTTTATTTTTGGGTTCTTTTTTCTGCTTTTTGGGTCATACCCGTTGATGCTTAGGGGTTATTCCTGGCTCTGCATTCAGGAATTACTCCTTGCGGTTCTCGGGAAACCATTTGGGATGCCAGGGATTGGACACAGGTTGGCCACATGCAAGGCAAATGCCCTAACTGCAGTACTATTGCTCCAGTTCCTATGTTGGTTATTGGGCCTCCACTGTGTTTAGGGATTACACCTGGCACTGTTCTCAGGGATCACTCCTGGTAGAATTTGGTGAACTGTATGGGGTACCAAGGATCAAATCTGTATTGGCTGCATGCAAGGCTAGCACCCTACCCACTTACTATTTTTCTAGGCCCCTCTTTTTTTTTTAAGGCACTAAGTTGTTCAGGCATACAGTATCCCAACAACAATCCTTTCACCAGTGAGACCTTTCCTCCACCAGTATCCCGTGTTCCTTTCCACCACCATCCCCAGCCTGCTTCCGTAACAAGCTTTGATTTTAATTCTATTTTAGGCACCAATAAGCACATTTTAAAGTTTGGGTACAATAGTTTGGGCCTCCTAATTACAGTTTTGTTGACTTTGTGTTTTAGTTACATTGATATATACCATACCTCTAGATGTATATATAGATATATCTGAGGCACTTCACCCTTCTCCTCTTTTTTACCTCCTCTCTGCCTTTCCTTACATCCCTCCTCAATTTCTTTCCTTCCCTAGCCTTCTTATTTCTAAAACATAAGGTCTAGGGTAATCTAGGTACCCCCATTTGATACCTTGCATTTCCTTGTCTTGTTTGTATCCCACAGATAAGATCATACAGTATTTGTCCTTACTCTTCTAGATTTCTTCATTTAACATGATATTCTCCAGTGCTGTCCAAGTTGCAGCAAATTGCATGATTTCATCATTTCTTGAAGCTGCATAGTATTCCATTGTGTATATATACCACACTTTCTTTATCTACTCATCCGTCATTGGATACCTAGGTTATTTCCATTTCCTAAGTGTTGCAGTGAATAATGGTGTGTGTTTGTCTTTCGAATGAATGCTTTTGTGTCTTGGGGTAGATATGAAGTAATGGAATTGCTGATATATCTCACCATGTGTTGAAAGTCCTGGCCAAAGTATTTACTAAGTATTTTGTTGTTAATTGAGCCTCCAGTGTTACTGTTTTTGTTTGTTGAGTTTAGTTGCCTTTCGTGCTATTTTTCCATGTAATTTGGTGTGTTCCTACTAGAATTTCAGTACTGAAGAATTTGGAGGTGTTGTGCAGCCATATTAATGCAGCGCATTAAGTGGTCCAGACACTTTAGGATCTTTGGTCTGGGCCAATGAGTTGAAAATACTCTGGGGTTCTCAGCCTGGTTACCAGAAGTATCTGAACTTTTTCATGATTTGGTGTCGCTGCAGTTTTAGTGAAGCAGTAGAATTGAGCTATTGATGTGGCTGCGAGGTGGGTTGTGGGTATGGCTGCCTAGCCTCTGCAAGGTAAGGCTCCCATCCTGAGGACACCCTGAAGTTCTTAGCAAGGGTCATGGGGAAGGCGGGGGGATGAACCAGTGTTTTCATGAGTTGTAGTTGCTTGGCTTGTGTTTCTTTGGAGATTTACTCATGAATTGGTAGAGCATGGCCGTGTGGGTGAGTCAACATCTGATTTTTTATTATTATTTTAACATTAATACATTTCCCCATGGGTTGAAGCCATAGCACAGCAGGTAGGGCATTTGCCTTGCACGCAGCCGACCTGGCTGACCCAGGTTTGATTTCTTCGCCCCTCTCAGAGAGCCCGGCAAGCTACCAAGAGTATCTCGCCCACATGGCAAAGCCTGGCAAGCTACCCGTGACGTATTCAATATGCCAAACACAGTAACAAGTGTTACAATGGAGACATTACTGGGCCTGCTTGAGCAAATCGATGAACAACAGGAGGACAGTGACAGTGACATATCCCCATACTTTAAAAAACTCATATGATAGATTATATTAATGGTTTATTTCAGAAGCCAATTCTTAAAGTCTTTGAACCAATTTTTTGTTCAGATTTTAAAGTAGTTTTACTTTGTACATTAACTATGCTTAATATATGTGCAAACCCATCTAATCATCTAGGGAAGAGAAATTTTTCTGAAGAAGATATTAAACTGAATTATCCAGTGTCACATTAATGAGATTTTTCTGAAGGCTGAATTAAAATTTAGTCATCACTTGCATTTTCAGAGCACTTGCTAATAAATTTTTATAAAACCAGGTTTAAAAAATCACGAAAGAAAAGATAGGGCCTCTACCTTGCTATTGCTGAATAGGAAAATCTATTATTTCCACTTAGAGAAAGTTACTTGAAAAGGTTTACCGACTTCTACTCTAAAGAACTATTAAAAAAAATTGAGGGGCCATAGTGATAGTACAATGGGTAAGGTACTTGCCTTGCACACAGCAAATCTGGGTTTGATCCCAGCATCCGTTGTTGCCTGAGCACTGCTAGGGGTGATTCCTGAGTGCAAAAGGAAGGAAGAAAGAGAGAAGTTAAGAGGATGAATAGGCATACATGTCCTTCATTAAATCATGTAATGGGCTTTTTAGATCATAAAACTCTTAAAATACTGGATAGTAATATGTTAAGCAGTTCATAGGCACTTTGGGCATTTTTTTGCTTTTGTAAGCAAGAAAGGAAGTTAAAATAAACTAAAACCGCCTGGAGAAGTACTACATTCATAATTGTACTTGCACTTCACGTTAACTAGATAAGGAAAACACTTTTTACAAAAGGAGTCAACACATCTGTGTTGTATGTAATAAATGCCTGAAGAAAGTAAAGATGAGAAACAGATAGGATCAGTGACTTGACTGAATTCACATGTAGAGCTTTCCAAAGCCAGATAGGGAAATCTGTAGAGAAAGACCTTTTGTTTAGGAATTATAATTACTTGAGCCAGAGAAGTAGTGCAAAGGTCAAGGTGATTGCCTTACATATGGTGATCGCCACTGCATATGATCAGCTGTGCACTGCCAAGTATGGCAAACAGGAAAAGGAATTTTAATTACTGAATGATTAATATTTCACCTGTGTGAATAAGCTTTGAGTATCCGAGAACTTTCCATCCCAGAAAAAAAAATGGCTGTAATTTGTAAAATCTTATTTTCTACACTTAAATGTTGGAACACTCCAGAGAGTGGAACATGAGATATTAGACTCATTCCATTAACAGGAGCAAATGTTTCTGTGTGCATTTTTTGCCCACCATGGGAACCCATGTCCCCCAAGTGCCTTCCTTAAGGAAGCTGCCAACCATTGCAGGAATGCTAAAAAAATGCTGTATTTGTATAGTCAAAGCTCTAACACAGAAGCTGGCTACTGAGAGGAAACACATTCTGTCCATGGAAGGGGTCTGAGGCTGATTATGAATTTTGGACAGATGTGATACCAGCTCTTAGAAAAAGAAGAGAAGAATTAGAGAAGAATTATCTGCAGAAGCTGCCCAGTGATTCCAACAAACTGCATAATGATCTTGGAAGAAACACATCTTTTGAAAATACAGGAGGAAAATGGGGAATTTTTTTAAAATTTTGGGTATAAAAAGAATCTTACTAGGGCTGGAGCGATAGCACAGTGGGTCGTGCATTTGCTTTGCATGTGGCTCACCCGGATTCAATTTCCTGTATCCCATGTAGTCCCCCAAGCACTGCCAGGAGTAATTCCTGAGTGTATGATCCAGGAGTTACCCCTGTGCATCACTGGGTGTGACTCAAAAACAAACAAAATCTTACCCTAGCAGATAAGCAGAAAGATGGCATCTGCAAAGACAGTTTAAAGATTTTATAGAGAAAAGTCATATGAAGCAAATGTCTTAAAGACATTCAGGTGTGGAATATGGAAGAGGAAGAAAGCTCTAATCAATAATCTTCTAGTGACTGAAGAGACAGTACAGGAAGTCAGGTACTTGCCTTGCATCCTACCAACATCAGTTCAAATTCCTGACACCACAGAAGGTCCCCCAGTTACTGCCAATGGTCATCCTGAGTACTTCTGTGTGACACAACCCCCCCCCCACACACACACACACACTGCTTAAAAATAAAAAATAAATAATTTTCCAAAGATTTTAGCAGAGCCTGTGCACCAATCTGAAACTGAACAAATCTAAACTTTTGCAGCAAACCATTTCCCTCATACCAGCATTTAAAAAGGGCTAGATACAGCAGTGCCTTTCAGAATATTTCTGATATCTAGTGAGTGTTGGGCATGCTGCCATTTTCCTTCTCCAACCCTCTGGTCTACAGTGTGCTTCTTCGGAGGCTGGAGTGATAGTACAGCAAAAGGGCATTAACCTTGAATGTGACTGACCTGGCTTTCACCCTGGTCCCCTCTGGTCTGTCATGCCCACCAGGAGTGATCCCTGAGTGCAGAGCCAGGAGTGAGCTCTGAGTACTGCCAGTTGCAGTATAGCAGTAAATAAATAGATTAATAAAATGTGCTCATTTGGGGACTATAGAGATAGTACAGGGGTTAAGGCACTTGCCTTGCATGCAACCAACCCTGGTTCAGTCCTTGGCACCACAGGTCCCCTACTAGGGCTGGAGTGGCCCAGGTAATCCCAGGCAGTGCAGAGCCTAAGTAGCACCACACTCAGACCCTCACACTGAAATGCAGGCCCTATTGGCCAAGAATTACTGGGAGGGGCCTCGGGCTTCCTGAGCAGTACTTGGGAGACCCTAACTACACACACACACATGCACACGCACACACACATGCACACGCTCAGTTTAGAAAATCAAGAAATTAAAATGATACTTAGGCCCCCCACCAAAGTGTGCTGGCATATATTTTTTATAGTATATCCTCTCTAACTTTCCGTGTCACATTTATACCTCTACATTTTTTAATTTAGCTCTTAATTATTAAAGTATCTAACAACCATGTAACACTGTAGCACTGTCCTCAGTTGTTCATTGATTTGCTCAAGCGGGCCCAGTAACATTGTGAGACTTGTTGTTACTGTGTTTGGCATATCGAATATGTCACAGGTAGCTTGCCAGGCTTTGCCTTGCGGGCGAGATACTCCAGGTGTCCAAGAGGGGTGGAGGAATCGAACTCGGGTTGGCCAGGTCAGCCGCATGCAAGGCAAACGCCCTACCCGCTGTGCTATTGCACCAGCCCTTACAACCACAATTCTGAGAAAAGCAAAAGTTCCTAGCCATCTGCTAGAGTATTTTGTTTGGTTTGGTTGTTTTAATTTCAAAGGTGTTCATGGAAATATTTTCTTTTGTGGGGCAGAGTGATAGTCAGTGGGTATAGAGTGCATGTCTTGCATGCAGCTGACTCAGGTTCAATCCTCTGCACCACATATGCCTGAGCCCCACCAGGAGTGATCCCTGATAGAGCCAGGAGTCAGTCCCTGAGCTCAGCTTAGTGTGAAACAAAATCTTTCAAAACAATTTAAATATAAAGTGGTTTTGGGGGGAAGGTTAATTTGGGGGTCATACCAGGCAGAGCTCAGAGGTCACTCCTGGTGCTGCTCAGGGACCATAAGCGGTACTGGGGATTAAACCAGGATTGGCTGCATATAAGTCAAGTGTCTTAACCCCTATACTATCTCCCTGACATAAGAAATAAGCTTTTTGATTGTTATAGCAATTTTTGTTAGGAGGAATATAGTCAGCTGCATATTTATAAGGCATGGATTATGTTCTGAAATATTGCAGGGTTTATGAGCTGATGACTTGCTTCACTACATTAACTGAACTCATTAGTGAAACTAAGTTTTAAGGGCAAGCTTAATTTGTTTTTAAAAATGAGATTTTAAGACATTGAAACATTTAAGTGATAGTAGTGCTGGTGATTAATCATTTGGTATTTAAGGAAAAGCTGTAAATATTCTATCTAAATTAAAAGCCATGGAAGTAGCTTCTGTTTTATAAAATATGAAAGAATGCTGCCCAGTTTAGCCCAAAGATTCCCAAGATGTAGTTAAGCTTCCATTTTAAAAGAGTGCAAGTATAATTCTAAAGGATTCACATCTTTCCCCATTTAGAGGTTTTGGAGAAATATTTCTGAATGTCATAATAGGAAAGTTGGAAAAATGATTCAATCTGAAGAATTTAGTGAGGACATTTCCCTTTAAAAATGAAAAAGTTTTGGCTTTGATGTCCTTAAACTTCTCATTCAAGAGAAGATCATAAGTATTTTCCATGTATTATACTCATATCTTAGCCCTTGGACTACAGCATGTTCACAGCAGCTACTTAGTTCAATAGTTTGAATCCTTTGGCTTAGAGACATCTGTCTTTCTTATCTGTCTTCCTGTTGAGCTCTATACCTCGTTTCTCCCGTCTATTAGGCTAAATAATTCCACCCCTCTCCATCTTATTTTTAACATTATTCCCCCTTTACTCTTTTCTACAAACTTTCTAAGTGCATTCCATCTCTCTGCTGGGGTAGTCTAAGCTCTTTGCTTTCTTGCTCTCCTTTCAAGTCATCCCTTACCTGTCTTTTATGTTCACACCTCCTTTTGATTCAAAACCCATTCCACAATGTACAAACCATCCAGTGATGATAGATCTCACTGTTGCAAGAAAAACAAACTACTCACCAAGTCACTTAAATGTCTAAATGTAGGAGCAGTGCATATCCTCTGTGCAGTCCATGTGGTGTGAGGATGATTTAAACATCATCTTTAATTCCTCAAGAATCTGCTGGTGCAGAATCACACAGGCAACCTGCGGTTGACTGGGCAAGCCAGCCCTGTTTTTACTTGTATCAGGATATAGACTATTTGTTTCTTTACTTCCTCCCCTCCCTTTCCTATGCTGTTACAATGACTGAGGCTTATATACATGTCTGGTCATGGCACCTGCACATTTAGTTACCATGTCTGCTGGGGGGAATGTACACAGGTTGTAGAGCTTAGACCGCACTCAGCCCCAGTGTTCCATGCTGGTTGTGGGTTTTTTTTCCCTCTCTCTCTCCCTCCCCCCCTCTTTCTTACTTTCTTTCTCACTCCTTCCTTCCTCTTTCTTTCTTTCTTTCTTTCTTTCTTTCTTTCTTTCTTTCTTTCTGTTTTTGTTTTTATTTTGGATCCACACCTGGCAGTGCTAAGGGTTCAGTCCTGGCTCTGTACTCAGAATCACTCCTGGTGGACTCAGGGGACCGACCATAAGGGATGCCAGGGATCACACCCAGGTCAGCTGCAAATATCTCTCCAGCCTTGGCTATGTTTCTATGAGTATGATCACACTCATGTAGTTGTGGTGCTCACCAGGGTTACACTTCAGGGCCACAGTCCCTGAACTTTTTGGCCCTCACACACTGGCTGTGACCCAGCCAGAGACACTTGTGGTACCAGGAATTACAGACAACAGAGCACTTGGCATATTCAGGGGCACCAGGGATTGAACTTTCAACCTTACCCTTTGCTGGGCAGTTAATGTTAGCATCTAAGTTATTCCTGAGGTTCCATGACATGGACATTTTCCATAGGAATAAGTTACTCAGTAATCAGAATTTTTAAAAGCCCATATAAATTTTACATTCTCACATACAGATCTAGCCCTCAAATCCAGAACTACTCCTGATAACCTTAACTAAAAAGCATTTTTTGTTATTTGTAGGAATCCAATCTTGCTAGTCAAATAGGAGTTTCTCTTCGAGGACCCCCAAGTTTGCCACCACGGTAAGTGTGGGAAAATTTAAAAAGTAAGTTGGAATAAAACTAATGACCTGGAGACTGAACTCCTTCTTTTAGTCTTCAAGACTCAGCATTGTTGACCTTTGATCTTTTTGTAGTTATTTTTTCACTCAAGCCATCAGTCTAGTCTTACTCAAAGCATATCGTAGAAATTCTGTTCTCTCTCCCTGTTCCACTCCCTCTCTCCCTCTCCCTCCTCCCAGTCCCTCTCTCCTCTCTTTTTCACCCTCTCTCCCTGTCTCCCTCTTCCTCACTCCCTCTCTCCTCTTTCCCTCTTTCCATATCCTCCTCTCTTCCTGTCTCCCTCTCCTTCATATAAGAAACATGCTTGATTTTTGTCATTTCCACAGAGTCTTCATAGCTCCAAGGAGACCTGTTCTTCAGAGTTTCACAAAGAGTATTTAAACAAAACTCTGTGATGCTATCAGAAGACATTACTATATTGGAAATTATTTTTATCTTGGGAATTAATGAAAGCTTTCAAAGTAATAGTCATCTTATCTCGTTTTCAGAACCAGCTTTTCTTATATTAATCAAAATTGAATTTTTAATAATTCTTATAACATGAATATTAGGGAAGTTATCAAACACCAATTCTTTTTCCTAATCATGTATAAAATTACATCACATATACCCGACATCTTCGAATCAGGCTTTGGTAAAAGTGCTTGGTGTCTTGAAATAGTCGTGGTGTATTTAAGAAACAACAGGGCCTTCGAGACCTCATGAAAGTAAATGCTTGTTTGTCTTGAACTAATGAATCTCAAGTGCCAGATTAGAAGAAGCTGAAACATCATGACATTTCCTCTAATAAAATAGTGTTTGACACCACAGTCATTTCCACAAAAATGACATGCCTACATGTTCTCAGTAAATTGTATTCTATTCTACGAATAGAAAGCACGCGCGTGTGTGTGTGTGTGTGTGTGTGTGTGTGTGTGTGTAAGAAAAGACAAAACAGAATGAATGAAACACAAAACAGAATGAATGAAAGACAAAACAGAATGAATGAAACACTGACAGACTACATTGACTTTCAGACCTGTAAATGGAAAAGTTATACCAGCTCGACAGCCTTCGTCCAAGGGGCCTCCTGAGAGACCACCTCCTCCCAAACTTTCTGCAAGCAGAGCATCAACAAAAAGACTGCCTTTCAATCGGTCCTCTTCTGATATGGATCTTCAGAACAAACAAAGTAACTTGGCATCTGGACTCACAAAAACCAAAAGCCAAGTCTTTAAAAGTCAAGATCCGGTGCTACCCCCTCGCCCAAAACCAGGACACCCTCTCTACAGAGAAAATACATGGTATATATAGCTGTGTGTGTGTGTGTGTGTGTGTGTGTGTGTGTGTGTGCGCGCGCGCGCGCGTTTGTTCTGCGACACAAATTGTCTCCAAGCACCTCTTAAATTGAGTGCAGTGAAAATAATAGCCCCTGAGCACTGCCAGGTGTGGCCCAAAAATAAAGAAATGATTGTGGTAAGAGATTTGTCTTCAGCATTTATAGAATCTCTTTTTCCTTAGGAAAAGACAGTGAGACAAATGTGGATTTGCCCCAGAACCCTAAGAGGAGTGCTTTAGATAAGAGCATGAGAAAACGTAGATCTTTAAAGCACTTTTCATTATTAGGAGAAATAGAAGAAAAGGAAGCAAAGCAGACAGGAATTGTACCCTACTATCTGGCTTGACCAAATGGAAGTAAAAAACATTTCCCATGTAATCCAAAAACATAGGCTGTATTGATAGAAATAAAGGTCAGACTTTATGGTTTATGTCTCATAATTATCTTACCTACAGACTAAAAAAGAAAAATTCTTATTAGGATGAATTTTTTCTTTCTGTAAAACCTAATGACCCTGATCCATTTGATACTAGTTAGAAGTTATCATAAATAAGATTAACTAAGATACTAATTTTGTTCTTTTCAGTCTCATACCTTGAGCCTTTGTCTCCATTTCCTTCATGTGGAAACATTTATGTGGTCTCTTTGGTCAGATTAATCTAATAAATTTTTAAAAATAAAAAATGATAAGAGGAGGACTATTTGTACTTTTAAACAATTAAATGATAGCAGATATTTTAAAAAGCAATTAATAGTGTTATACATTTCCATCATTATTGTCACTTAAAGTCATTTGAATTTTTTAAACCACCCTAAGAGATGTATGATAGACTGTAATATATTTCTATGTCTTCATGTTTTTTGATTGATGATTTTTTGAGTGTAGGTCACACCAAAAGTACCCAGTGGTACTCAGGGAATATTCTTGGCTCTGTTCAGATGTGACCTCTTGAGACTTTGCTTGAGGGGCTCCTACTTGGTGCTTGGGGATCTAACTCAGTTGGGTAGTATGCAGACAAGCATCTTACCTCCTGTACTTACCTATGATCCCAATTGATTTAATTGCTTTATACATGTTAAATAAGTTATTTATCCTTCACATCAGCCCTGTGAGGTAGATGCTATTACTACTTGTGCTCTGCAGATGAGGGGGAAAAGATAAGATTAAGGGGGCATAGAGATAGTACAACAGGTGAGGCACCCACTTTTATGCAGCCAACCAGGATTCAACCCCCAGCACCACATATGGTCTCCCAAGAACTGCCAGGAGTGATCCCTGAGCATAGAGCTAGGAGTAAGCCCTGAATACAGACAGTTGTGACACAGAGAGAGAGAGAGAGAGAGAGAGAGAGAGAGAGAGAGAGAGAGAGAGAGAGAGAGAGAGAGTGTCGGAGGAAGAAATTAAATAATTGATTTAGGTTTACAGATTAATTCAGGTTTACAAAATGGATTAAAGGTGGAGCTAAATTTTGAACACAGAACCGTTGAATCGGAACCATGTTCTTAATCATTATGTCTTATTTAAAGATAGTGTTATAGTTGTTAAGTCTCTACCTCCTTTGACCATTCCATGTTAAGAGCTTATTTAGGTGGAGCCAGTTTTATCCAGAGCTGTATGTCAGTAAAATATTTGAAAAATTGGATACAGGGTGATAGTACAGCAGGTCTATTTCTTGCCTTGCACATGACTGACCCCAGTTCTATCTGAAGCACTACATATGGGCCCCTGAGCTCACCAGGAGTGATGAGTGATTCCTGAGTGTAGAGCCAGGAAGGAGTAGGCCCTGAGAACCATTGGCTTTCCCCCACTGCCCCGTTACCCCTCTCCCCTACCCCCCCCCAAAAAAAAAAAACTAGAAAAACTAACGGGTAGATTGAAAATGATATGTTAGTGTGGTGTGTCACATCATGAAATAATTTTGGAAGTTCCTTTCTTTACCTTATGGCTATCCTACCCTTAAACGGCTAGCCAGGAATATGGGTACGTTGGGGGCACTAAGACATTACAGGGATGCTGGTAGGTGGCACTACCCAACCCAGTCTGAAAGGGCCACCGCCTTTGTACTCTACATCTTGGGATGGGCCACACAGTCTTCCCTTTTCTTGTTGGAAATTATTTCCTTGTATAGTCACATTCCAAGATAGGAGTTTTCTATTATGAGGCTCATTCAGCTGCCAAACTTTGCCAAAGCAGGAAACAGAGTCCCCTGGTAGGGAGAAAAGTTAAAGGTCAAAGCCTTTCTAAGAATAGACTGAGCTGAGTGGCTAGGACAGGCAGTGAGTTGGATTTAAGTAGACACTCAGTATCAGAGACTCTGGCAGAAGATGAGATTCAATGGGAAGCCGCCAGCCAGGCAATGCAGAGAAGGCCCAAGTCTCCCCTTGGCCTCAGAAGATAGCCACTGAGCACCATGCATTAGAGACATGCTGTGACAGGCTGTGAGGTCACCCGGGTGGGGTGACCCTGGTCTATAGAATAGAACTTCCTGGTTAAGGTAGTTAAAGGTGACAGCCAAAATATGACTTCATGGGCCTGTAGTCACAGCTCCACACCAGCAAGAACATTTTATACCCATAAGCAATCAATGGCAGACCTGGCCAGAGGGATAATACATGCAAGACACTTATTTTGTACATAACCAGCACCGTATTTGTTTGGAGTAAGTAAGGAATAAACCAGGCATAAGCCCCGAACACTGCCAGGTGTGCCCCACACCTAAAAACAAAATTTTTAAACATGAATGCCAACCCCCATGTGATCAGCAATTTATGAGGAGGCTATTTGATTGTGAATAATTCTTTTTTTGGTTTTATGTTTAAGCTCTCTGTGCCTCATGGGATTGCCAATGAAGACGTTGTCTCACAAAACTCTAGAGAAGTCTCTTGTAAGGTAAATCAAGCTCTTTCTTTACAGACTAACTCTTTAAAAATAAAAACACTGGCCTCAAAAGTAGTAAACACTACTTCACACATTATTAAATGCTTTAGGCTCCAATGATTTAAATGTGGGAAAAAGTAATAATATTTTATTATATAATATTTGCTTGGGTTGGAGCGATAGTACAGTTTGCCTTGCACGTGGCCGACCCGGGTTCGATTCCTCCGTCCCTCTCGGAGAGCCTGGCAAGCTACTGAGAGTATCCACCCGCATAGCAGAGCCTGGCAAGCTTCCCGTGGCGTATTCGATATGCCAGAAACAGTAACAACAAATCTCACAATGGAGATGTTACTGGTGCCTGCTCGAGCAAATCAATGAACAGTAGACGAAGGACAGTGCTACAGTGCTACAATATTTGCTTCAAACAGAGGTATTATACTTTCCAGGGGGATATTTTCGTGATGCTGGAACTTGCAGAAAATAATTACTTGGGATGCTGAAAGGGAGAGATGCTGACTAAATTCAGCAGACTCAGATTAAGACTATCACCTTACTTGATGAATGTCTTTGAAGCAGACCAAATGGAAGGAATTCATTTTGTACAACCCTCATATTATACATAAAGCCCACTTTAGATATTCGATTGCCTCGAGCAGGCCCCAGTAACGTCTCTTTCATCCTAGCCCTGAGATTATATTCAAGGCTATTTAGGAGAATGAGATTTAGATAAAGAACTTTTAATTATATTTTATCCATAGATTTTCATCAGCATTTATTTTAATGAGAATAAAAATTACAGTAACATTTATCCCATTTTAAGAATAAATTTTGGGGACTGGAGTGACAGCACAGCGGGTAGGGCATTTCCCTTGCATGCAGCTGACCCGGGTTCAATTCCCAGCATCCCTTATGGTCCCCTGAGCACCACCAGGAGTAATTCCTGACTGCAGAGCCAGGAGTAACCCCTGTGCATCACCGGGTGTGACGCCCCAAAAAATTTTTAAATTACTTTTAAAAGTTACTACTGCCATATTAATCACTTTGCTACACAAGTGACTGCCGTGTGTTCTTACTTCTTCATATCATGATGACTTAGAGCAAACCAGAGCACTCAACCATTAATAAACTCAGTTTATTAATGTTTATTTTTTGAATAATGTAAACATGTTTACCAATCTGCCAGAGATTAGTATCCCAGCAGAATAGGTAATTATGTCAAAGGGAGCCCTATAACTGCCAGGTCTGAAATTTAAAAAGCAGCTCCCTTAAAAATTTAAGCTTAGAGTATTATTTTTCTGATTTTAGCTCACCAAATATTGAAATGAAATATCATTCCACAACCTGATGTCACAATTTAGCTTGAGTCACTTGTGGACAATGGCAGAATACAGTGGCTATGGAAGGTCATTTATTTAGCAAGAAAAATGCTATGGAACAATTTTGAAGTATATTCTTATAGTGGCTTCTTAAATTACCTAGTTAAATTTTCACTCTCTGATAGTTAATGTGGCAAATATAAAAAGTAACTCCGTCATTTAACTCAAAGTCTTTGGTTTGTAAAAGTTCTTAAAAAAATGTTGTACTTTCTCCTACTTCACTAAGGAAATATTGAGTATTATCAGTTTAGTTTGAGTCTGTCACCTGGGGAAATCGAGAGATCGAGAGGTTATTACCCAGTTGAGAGCATGATTGGGTTTTAGGAAGCTAGATTTTTATTCCCTTTCATTGCCTTAGGGAGTTAACTTTTTGTGTGTGGTTGCCCTTCTGAGCAGTACTCTGGGGGTCTAGGGACCACTCTCAGTGATTCTTGGGCTGACTCTGGTGCCTGGATAGTGTCCAGTGGTGTTGAGGGCTCAACCAGGTATCAAACATGCCAGGCATGTACTCCAGCCTTTGAGTTATCTCCTGAACCCCTGTTGCCTTTTGTAGATGTATGAAATGTATACAGTAATTCCACACATAGTTATTTCTAGAATTGGTTTATTATGTATTATTTATATTCCATTTATTTAAAATTCCATCATAAGGAAGTCAGAAGTTAGTGTTTCCTCAGACTGGGAGGGTAAAGGGTTAGGGGGTTTCTTTTTGGGGTGACATAAACTGAGGTTGTGGTGATATTTGCACAATTCTATGACTATACGAAGACCACTTTAAGTGGTTGAATTTTATGATTTGTGAATTCTGTCTTAAAAACACTTTAAAAATTAAATGAGCTAATTATTGTGTATAGGGCCGGAGTGGTAGCATGGCGGTAGGGCATTTGCCTTGCGCACAGCCGGCCCGGCCTAGCCAGGTTCGATTCCTCCGCCCCTCTCGGAGAGCCTGGCAAGCTACCAAGAGCATCTCGCCCGCACGGCACAGCCTGGCAAACTACCCATGACGTATTCGATATGCCAAACACAGTAACAAGTCTCACAAAAGAGACGTTACTGGGCCCGCTTGAGCAACTTGATGGGAGGACAGTGCTACAGTATCTTATAGTGAGTAGTGCATAGTGCACAAAGAGTATTAGTTGTTCTTATTACTCATTTCTATTGGCAATTATAGTCTTATTAGAAAGAGCTTTGAACTGTAGTAGTATGATCTAATAGAATGATCTGAGTTGTACTGACCTCTTGTGGCCAACCGTTTTGGCTGTTTCTCTGTCCTCTATCTTCCAGGCCAGGTTGAGAGCTTCTTGACAGCAGAGAAAGGAAACAGATTGAGAGGCCCAAGTTGCTAAGTCTTCTCTCCTACCCTCCCTTAGTTCGTGCTGAGATAGCTGTCCAGTTTTCCTTATTTCATTTTTTTCCCTAGTGGATCGCCATCTTGTCTAACACAGTGTACTGAATTCTTACCCTTTTTCCCCCCCACAAAAAGAAAATGACACCTTTGTATATAGAATAAACTATGTAAACAAAATTTAAGTTTCTCCAGACTTAAAACATCTTCTAATTCTTTACTATATTCCCTGAAGTTTCTATCCTGATCATTTCTTTAGGGAGAAGCACTAAAAAGTCTCTAAGGAAATGTCCGTGTTACTTGGTGGGCTAGTACAGTGAGCTGACATTAGCCACTGCTATCTTGAACTACACTGGCATTCCGGTTAATCTAACTTGAGATAGTGCAACATGCCTCTGCAGGTACATTTTGGTGGAAAGATCAAATGAGATTCAGAAAAGATCACAGTAAAGGTGCTATGGGGATATAACAAGATTTCCCTGTGTGCAGCTCTTGGTTTAATCCCAGGCACAGGGAAAAAAATAATTGAATAAAAATAAAAATAATCATTACTTATCAATTAGAAAAGTTCAGTCCTTAACACTAGCCAATCTAGGTAGTTGGCTCAACGGGTAGGGAATATTGAATGTTCTTTGCTAATTTACTTAGAATTGCTGTTAAATAAACCATTCAGATTAAATAGAAAATTCGGGCCAGGCATGGGTGGTAACATTGGCTTTCAAATTAGAGAAAGCATTCATTTAAGTGGTAATAAGTGAAATGGATTTTACTTTTTGTGAATTACACTTCTGTGGGAGTCATTAGCTCTTTTCATTATGAACAGCAAGACCACACGTTGCACATTGCAGAGCTCTCTTCTTTTTCCGTTTCGCTGAAGATAAGACAAAAGTTTTTGATTTGAGGGCCACATCCTCGGGGCCCTTATTGTGCTCAGTGCTTACTCCTGACTCTGAGTTCAGGGATCGCTCCTGGAAGGGCTCCAGGGACCATTTGTGGTGCTGGGAATCAAACCTGGGTCTGCTGTGTATAAGGTGTAAGGCAAGCACCCTGCCTGTTGTCCCTTCCCCCCAGCTCCTTAATACTCTATTTTTAAGGTTTAGCCCTGATCATAATTGAGGGTAAAGGCTACCCCATGAAATTTTTGTGTTTGTGTTTTCTCAGTAATTTTTATTGCAACTGAAAAACACTGAAATCCTGGCATGTCTTGGGGAGAATGTGATTTACAGTAAATTGTCCTTGGGAATATGATTATATAGGGAAAACAGGAGACACTGTGTGGGTGCCTCCAAAGCAACACCATCAGAGTGAGCAGGGATTTGACTGCTCACTCCTAACTTTCCTTAGGGCAACACAAATCCAGCTGCAGCTCACTTTATTTTTCCTTTATGAATCTCCCTTTCTAGTCATAATACTGCACTCTCACAGGGAAAATACAGGGAGAAAGGGCTTTGGAGAGATTATTATTATTATTACAGTAAATGAATTTGCCTTTGTAGGTCTGTTCACCCACAAAGATCAGAAAAACCTAAACCTTAATACTAGACCACCTTCTGACTGCTTTGTCATGGTTTCTTTTCTCGTAAGTCAAAAACAGAACTCAAATGTCACTGCACCAGAGAATCTCCTGTTTAAATTTTTTTTTCTCACAGTTTAAAAGTTGTTGGGGTGGGGATGCTTGAATTCATAGTTATTTCGGCCCTACCTTGGCAAGGACACATGTCTTCTTAATGGTAATGATCCCGTTGTTTGACTCAACTGTATGGTGTGCAGCTTGTACTCTTAATGTGTCAAGAGGACTATAATGAGGAAAAACTAATTGGTCTGAGAGTGAACAATAAACCAGCCTCTATCTTGCATACTTCATTCACAGCCTTGTTTTTCCCTTAAGGATTCAAGCTACACTCAGAAGCCCGCTGGCTGTAGTGCTCCTCACGCTCTGGTTCTCCATGATTTTGCTGCAGGTAAGGATGTGCTAGTAAAGTGTGAGAGCCTTAGTAGAAGGCACCTCCCTGGCGTGACCTCCCATCACTGTGCCAACTGGGTCTGGGCTGTATAAGTCATCTTGCCATCAGCCTCACCTCTGGGAAGAGTAGATTGAACTCTGCCATTCTGGAAAGGCTGGCTTCATGTGCCTTTAAACCGAAAGGGGAAGAGACAGAGAGAGTGAGAGATGAGACAAGAGTTTCCCTTCCAGCTGAACAAAGAACAAATTTCTCATTGATTATTTGCTCAACTCTTTCCAAACTATTCGCCTATTACTTATGAGACATAGAATAAAGTTCTGTAGTCAACTATTCTATGTACCAGGTGCCAAATAAAATAATCTTTGGATTTCTCTATAACTTTTTTTTAATATGTACTTGGTAGGTTGATTTTTATTTCAGTGAGAGTAAATTTGCTTGTTAAAGAACTATAGTACTCCCTTAGTTAATATTTTGAGATTGAAAATTTTAAGTATGATTGGGAATAAGACCATTTCCTTCTATCTGTGATACCCTCTCATTGTTTAATATGTATTTAGCAAAGGGTTTCCAGTGAAACAGTAGAAATCATTGGCCTAGTTTTTTTTTACCATTTCTCATAAATTAATGCATAGTAAATATATATAATTTGGTCTTAAAAGAGGAATCCCATAAAAGCAATATCCTTTAAAAGTCAATTAGATTATATGATCTGTTCTCAGCATCCGTAGAACATACTGCCTCAATGGACAGAACTAAATACTATTTTGCATTCTACTTTAATCAAATCTGCCACCATAATAATTCATCATACATAATTATGATTTCATGTTACAGAGCAAATTGATGATTTGAATCTCACTTCTGGAGAAATTGTTTATCTTTTGGAAAAAATAGATGCAGATTGGTATAAAGGGAAATGTAGAAACCAGACTGGTGTGTTTCCTGCCAACTATGTCAAAGTAATTGTAAGTAGGCCTGTTGTTTCTCTTGCATATGTTCATGTGTCTCTGTGCTACTTGCAAGTTGGACAAGCTAACTGAATGCTGGACTCTTGAGTTCTAGTTCTCTTTCTTAGAATACTTGGTGTTTGGAAAACTAAAAAAATGAAGACTTTGGGTCAGAGAAATAGTACAGTGGATAAGGCACTTACCTGCACACAGTCAACCCAGCATCCCTTATGGTCCCCCAAAGCCCACCAGGAATGATTTCTCAGTGCAGAGCCAGGATTAACCCCTGAGCACCACTAGGTGTAGCCCCAAAACAAACAAACAAAAATTGAAGATTTGCTCAGCTGGATCTGGGTAAATTATTATAATATTATGGGGTATTAGAAATTAATGTTTGGATTTTTTCTGAAATCCTAAAGTGAAAATTTTACACACCAGCTATGAGTCAAATAATTTTGGAGGGTGGGTAAGTACTTAAGGATAACCTTTAATTCTTTTAAAATTTTTTGTTAAGGGGCCAGAGAGATTTACAGAGGTTAAGGCACTTGCCTTGCATGAGACCTATCGTAAGTCAGTCCTCTACACCACATGGTCCCTAAACATATCCAAGCATAGCCCTGGAGACCCCCAGCACCATCTGGGATTATCCCCAAGCGTCACTCTTGCACTGAAGTACTGACCAGTTGCATCTCTGAAGCACCACCTGGGAGACCCTCCTTACCCACCAAAAATAAATAAAAGTAAAAATTTTTGTTAATAAGAATTAAGCAATACTAGATTGCCCTAAAGGAATATTTTCCCAGTAATGGTACAGTTTCTTTTTGTGATACTTTTTTTTTAATTTTTTATTAGTGAGACACCATGAGGTACAGTTGTAGACTTACAAATTTTGTGCTTGGGTTTCAATTATACAATGATCAAATACCCATCCCTCTGTGATACTTCTTTTTGCATGCAGTTTATTTATTTTTTTCTTGCATCCTTTTCGTTTTCCATATCCATGCCTTAATAAAACTAAATTTAGTTTTTTCTCCTCTGTACATATCTGTAGCTAAGGTAAAAACCATTGAGTTGTGCATGTAAGTGCATAAAATGTATGGTATGTGAATGTTATATCAAGAAGGCTATAGTTTTTTTATTAAAAAAAGAAATAGATGTGCAGATACTAAAATACTTTCATTAGAGGTAGTGGTCCATTAATAATTTTTGCCTTTAATGGTTTTTTATATAATAAATTTCAGCTATAATTTTTATTAAATTATATTATTAATTATATTAAAGCATTAAAGTTTTCCAATTCATCTCAGCCTAACTTGTGGAAACAGATGGTTCTGAATACAAAACCATATGGTTGTTAAACACAGGGTTAAAATCAGAGTGTCACATGAACATTTCTGTTAGTAGGAAGAGTGTGACCTGGTTTTTAAGATTATTTAATGGTACTGGAAAATGGCAATAAAATAGCTTATAGAGTTTAGTGCTAACAGCTTATTTAGAACTGGGGGGAAAGTAAGTGATTTTTCATTACATCAGAAATTTCAGAAAAAAAAATAGAACAGAGAAACTGTCTTTTTTCAAATATAAGCTTAGGTCTCTTAAATTATAAAATATGGGTCTTAAAAATTGTCCTGTATGTGTGTGTGTGTTCACGCGCACGTGTGTGTGTCTTGTGTGTGTTTTCTGATTTTCTGGGAGAACTTAAACTATATTTTCTAAATTAATATTAAGAATAATGTTAGTTTTAGCACTCTTCCTCATTTTTCTTCTGCCCACTGAAGCAGTACTTTAAAAAGCACAATTACCACACCAATATTAATCACGCTAATCTGCCACATTATTGCCAGAAGAGTTATTTTTAAGCCTAGAAGTTAAAAAATTTTTTGGAACTTCAAACTTTTGGAATTCATCAAGAAGGGTGCTGATTTATTAAGTATAAACTTTATAGCCTTGAATTCTTTCCAGACTTAATAATTATGGTCAAATATGTTATCATAGTCCTGCTTTACTGAGCCGTGTAAATGAAATATTACATAAAGTACTTATTACTTAGTAGTTACTCACTGAGTACTAATTCCTTTCATCCTTTTAACATTGAAAGAGAAAAAAAAAAAGATGTTGCAGGATACGGAAATGGAGAAAATCCAGAAGCTTAATTCAGATGTCTTATTTGGGAAGGGATGAGGAGAAAGGGAAATACATTTTTTTTAAAAAAGTGTCTTTTTCTGGGGGTGGGGGGTGGGGTTCAGGAAAGTATAGTTTTCTACCAACACTTTTTGTTTATTTGGGCCACATCCGGTGATGTCACGGATCACTGCTGGCTGGGCTTGGGGGACCCTATGGGAGCTGAGGATCATCCCTGGGGCTGCTATGTGCAAGGCAAGTACAGCAAGCCCTTCCTACTGTGCTTCTATCTAGCTGCTTTACCAACACTTGGAGTAGTTACTGTAATGCATGAACACCTGTTAATAGTTTCTTTTACTCCTTCTCATCAGAAGTATTTAACTTAAAGAACATGGGGTAGAGAAAACTAACTTGGGGAGAATGATACTGATGTGCTGATTCCAGAAATAAGAGGCTTGATTGGCCAGGAGGACTGGTCCACTGTTGGAAGCTTGCTGCTAGTCGGCTGGGGGTGGGGGGCGGGGATGGAGAGGAGCAATGAGTGCAGTTAGGATAGAGAAGGGACCACTAGGACAGTGATAGTTGGAAGTGATCGCTATGGACAAGAACTGAATACTGAAAGTTCATAAAAGGATATACATGATAACCTTTCAAAACCTGTATTGCAAACCACAAGGTCCAAAGGGGGGGGCAGGGAGGGAGGGAGAGAGAGAGAGAGAGAGAGAGAGAGAGAGAGAGAGAGAGAGAGAGAGAGAAGAGAGGAGAGGTGTCTGCCATAGAGGAAGGAGGCTGGGGGTGGGTGTTGGTGGGAAAAAAACTGGGAACATTGGTGGTGGGAAATGTACACTGGTGTTGGAACACTGTATACTGAAACCCAGCCATGAACAAGTTTGTGACTGCGTACCTCACAGTGATTCCATAAGAAAGAAGATGATTGATTGGCTGTTCAGGAAAGTTTTTCTGCAATTTATACTTGGTTTCAAGAGCCAAATTTTGATTTGGGGGAGGCAACAGTTGCGGGGAAGTGGGTTTAGGTCAAACCTAGCAGTACTCAAGGCTCACTCTTGGCTCTGTGTTCAGGGATCATGCCTGGTAATGTTCCAGGGATCATTTGTGGTCCAGGAAATTGAACTGGCTCAGCCACATGAAAGGCAAGCCCCTTATTCACTATACTATCTTCTCTGGCCCCAAATTCTGAATTTCTTACCTTTTGCACCTATGATAGCATTTGATCAGTGTGACATTTAGCTAAACTACCTCAGTTCAATCATGTGTTTACTAAATTTATTTAACCTTAAATTTTTCTTACTAAAATCTGAGAAACAATCAGTTGTTGCCTTGATTTTGTCTTTGCTAGATTGATGTTCCAGAAAAAGAAAACAGAAAAAGAGAAAGAGAATCAATTTCATCTCATTGTGTTAAGTAAGTTTTGTTCTTTTATACTAAATACAAAGGAGATAAAATATCATAAAGAATTACCAGATAATTTTCAGAACATGATTTCTCAGATTCTCAGTGTGTCTTTCTAATTATGAGAGAAACTTCATATTTTGGGGGGCCAAGGCTTACTCCAGACTCTGCACTTCTGGTGGGCTCGTGGGACTGTGTGGTGTGCCCAGGATTGAACCTGAGTCAGCCCTGTAGCACTGCACTGTCCTCCCGTTGTTCATCGATTTGCTCAAGCGGGTACCAGTAACGTCTCACAACAAATTGTGAGACGACTTGTTACAGTGTTTGGCATATTGAATACATCACAGGGAGCTTGCCAGGCTTTGCTATGCAGGAAGATACTCTTGATAGCTTGCCGGGCTCTCTGAGAGGGGCGGAGGAATCGAACCCGGGTCAGCCGGGTCGGCCGCGTGCAAGGCAAATGCCTTACCCGCTGTGTTATCGCTCTAGCCCCTAACCAGTATACGATCACTCTGGCCCCATTTTGTTCTTTAAAAAGCTGCAATGGGGACCAGAGAGATAGTACAGTTGTTGAGACACTTGTCTTGCACATGTCCAACTCTGGTTTGATCCCCAGCATCACATATGGTTCCATGAGCAGCACCAGAAGTGATCTCTGATCACATAAATAGGAATAAGCCCTGTGTACCACATAAATAGGAATAAGCCCTGTGTACCACATAAATAGGAATAAGCCCTATGTACCACAAATGTGGCCTCAAAACCCAAACAAGAAAAAGCTATAGTGAATTAAAATTTTGGTGAAAATTTGACATCTGATAGAAGATGATGTAATGACTGTGACGTCTGTGTGTGTAGACAGAGCCTCCCCCGATGCGTCCCTCAGTGAAGCCTTTCCTGGAAGCAGAGAGGGCTTCATCATCCCCTGCATTTTATTTTGGCCTTCTAGTGTTGATCTACCAACAAATTTCTAGAAGGGTCAGATATTTTTGACATAGAAGATAGTTGAACCTCAAAGAAATGTGAACTCTACAAAAACTGCTGGGTATTTTATATTGCTTTGCTTTTAGGAGGAATGATAAGTAAAGGCATAGTTGGAGTCTCTCCCCAGACCTTTCTCGAGCAGGCCCCCTTGACCTGCAAGGGACTGTCGCACAGAGACTTGAGGGCCAAGCCAAGCTACCCTCTGTGTAAAGTGAGGGGTTCGGGGAAAAGAGCATGTCCCTATGCCGCCACCTCCACAACCTAGGAATGAGCAAATGAGCATACCAGGAGTCCTGTCAAGCAGTCCCCATTTTATTAGACAATCAGCATAATTTGTATAGGCTGGGCATACAAGGGGGGAAATGTGAATGGCCACATACTCACAGTGGTCAGAACAAATATGTGTTTTCTATAGATAGGGTGGGCTGGAGCGATAGCACAGCGGGTAGGGCGTTCGCCTTACAAGCGGCCAACATGGCCGACCCGAGTTCGATTCCTCCGCCCCTCTCGGAGAGCCCGGCAAGCTACCGAGAGTATTCGATATGCCAGACACAGTAACAACAAAGTCTCCATTGGAGACGTTACTGGGCCCGCTCGAGCAAATCGACGATCAACGGGAGGGCCTTTACCTTTTACCTTATAGATAGGGTTACATCTCTCCTGTGTGATTACAATGGTTAAACTGTCATCACATATCTGCCAAATATGCCTTGTCCCCTGGTCACATTGACCCGCGATAAGTATGCATTGCAGCAGGCTTGTGGTACTTCAAAGCAGACCAAAAGGGGCTTTTCTCCCAACAAAGGCAGAGTTAAATTGGAAGGGTCTTCTTTGTGTCTGAAGGTGTTTCGATGAATTTATGTACTGTTTTATGCATCATTGTAACTCCTTTGAGATTTAAAACACGGTCACAATTCAACTTTATATTGTAGTTAAATGAGCAAATTAATAGAATTCACTACCTGCTGAAGACTGTAAACCTGTCTCTGAATAGGTCAGACATAAGGAGATGTTCCCTGAGGACTTCAGAAAATAAATGCAAAGGTTATCACAAACAAGAAAACTTCTGGGGCTAGAGTGATAGCACAGTGGGTAGGGCGTTTGCCTTGCATGCAGCCAAACTGGGTTTGATTCCCCACATCCCATATGGTCTCTCTAGCACTGCCAGGAGTAGTTCCTGAGTGCATGAGCCAGGAGTAACCCCTGTGCAATGCCGGGTGTGACCTAAAAAGCAAAAAAAAAAAAAAAACCTTCTGAGGCCACAGGGTTGAGATTACGTCAGGTCTGGGTTTTCTCCTATATCTAAGCAGTGTTTACTGTAGTGGCAGATTGCATTTAAAGTGAGTTCTCATAATCTTTTATCCATTAATTTGACTTGAATCCAAGCTTGGCTGGAATCAGGACCAACCTTTTCTCTTTAGATAATTGCTTGTCCTTACCCCATTTCTTTTTTCTTTCTTTCTTATGTAGGAGTACTGCTATTTATTCAGCCACTGATTAGCTGATTGAATTGGGCATGAACTCCACCTTACTTTTTTTTTTCATTTTTTTATACTTTTATTGATTGAATCACCATGAGAGCAGTTACAAAGCTTTCAGGTTTAAGTCTCAGTCATACAATGAAACACCTGTACCTTCACCAGTGCCCATTCTCCACCCCCAAAAACCCCAGTATACCCCCATGCCCACCCTCCCTCTACCTGTGGGGCAGATGATTTCCACATTACTCTCTCTACTTTGATCACATTCAATATTTTGACACCAGACCTACCATTATTATTTGGGATTTTACCCCAACACTCAGATCTGCTGAAAAGGCAACAGTAGACAATTTGTTTTCTATTGCTGGTTAAGAATAACATGATGTTGCGTGGCTGCAGTAATGGCTGCATGATTTTGAAATTTCGAAATTTTAACACTTACATCTGGAGGGGTTTCTGCCAAAACCTGCTGGGTTCCGAGATTTGTTCCTGAGTCTCTGGGATCATGGCTGTTAAGCAGCTTGATCAGGAGCCATAGAAGCCATTCATGGACAGCGACTCAGGGTCTCATTGGGGTGGGGAGGAAAGGGCCGGCTCCACCCCCATCCCATGAGGCCCTGCATGTCTTGTCACTGCGGGCCCAAACCTAACTGTCCAGTGGCCTCTGGAGGATGGCGGCCACCGGGCCACCAGGGGGAACAGGCCAAGGCACGAAACCTATTCCCACCTGGGTTGGCCCAGCACCGGTAACCTATTGCAGGGACCGAATGCATTTCTGCCAAAAGCCCCTGGGTTTTAAAATTTGTTTCTGAGTCCCTGGGATCATGGCCATTAAGCGGTTCTATCAGGAACCAGAGAGACCTTGCCTCCAATTATATAGCTGAGCCCGAGGTGGTTTTTTGGTGTGTCTCCCACATACCTAACTTTTGGCCGTTTACTTTCTTGGTAAACTTTGCCCTAAGTTTTTTTGGTCTGGCCGAAGGCACAGCAGCAATTTTGGGGTATCTGGAAGTCTGAAGGTGCCATCAGGTTGCTGATGCACTTGCCTCACAGGTACAGATTGACCTGCTGGCGGCACCATATCCCCTGTTACCCCATTTCTATTGAAACTTCTCTAAAGGCTCAAATTAAAGTTTTGGTATTAAATTATGCCATTTAGAGACATAGCTTGGTCTCTGCTTTCAAGTTATTCTTAATAGATGGTACAGATAATTTAAGAATTTTCTAATTGTCAGATACAAAAGCCTTTTTAAAGGAGATTTAAAAATCATTTTAAACACATCAATATTAGATATGAAATTAAGTATATGAATTGATATGCCAGGCTTCTCTCTTCTCTGAAACCTCTACTTTTAAAGACCATCCAGGGCTGGAGTGATAATACAGCAAGTAGGGCATTTACTAGGGTTGTGGCTGACCCCAGTTGCCATATGGTCCCAGCACCCTATATGATCCCCAAAGCCCCACCAGGAGTGATCCCTGAGCACAGAGCCGGGAGCAAGTCCTGAGTACTGCCAAGTATGATCCCAAAAATAAAAATATATATAGGGGCTGAAGAGCTATTACAGGGGTTTAGGTGGTTGCCTTACATTCATCCTACTTAAGTTTTATCCCAACACTGCATATTATCCCCTGAGCCCTGCCAGAAGTAGCCCCTGAGCACAGCTTTCTATGGCTCAACCCCCTCCAAAAAAATATAAAGAATAAAATATATGTGCTATATGTGATTATCTTATTCAATGTATATTTAGCATTCTCTCTTCTTAGCATTGCATTCTGCCATGCAAGTTTTAAATCTTGCCTTGCATATGTCACACAATACAGTCACGGTCCTCCTGTTGTTCATCGATTTGCTCAAGCGGGCCCAGTAACGTCTCCATCATGAGACTTGTTGTTACTGTGTTTGGCATATTGAATACGTCATGGGTAGCTTGCCAGGCTCTGCCGTGTGGGCGAGATACTCTCAATAGCTTGCCGGGCACTCCAAGAGGGGCGGAGGAATCGAACTCGGTTGGCCATGTTGGCTGCTTGTAAGGCAAACGCCCTACTGCTGTTCTAGTACATTTGTGATAATAAGGGGTCAGATTAGGTCTTGGGTCACAGTGATCCAACAAATACAAAGACTTGGTGATTAGGGAGATCCAATATTGAAGTCAAGGTAATCAAAGATACAACAGTATAAACTGGCAGCTGCTTATCTGGAATTGTGCATATACTCTGTGAGCTTAGCTCTATCCTTTCTGAGTACAGGCTCATATATAAAGTGTTAGAACTGTCACTTAGAAATACTATTTATTCTCTTTCATAGAAAAAAACCCTTTTAATTATGGGGGTCAGAAAGATAGTACAGGGAGTATTTACACAACTACACAATGGAGTACTATGTAGCTGTTAGAAAAGATGAAGTCATGAAATTTACATACAAGTGGTACTACATGGAAAGTATCATGTTAAGCGAAATGAGTCAAAAAGAGAGGGATAGACATAGAAAGATTGCATTCATCTGGGAAACATAAAGTAACAAAATAGGAGACTAACACCCAAGAGTGGCCGAGATTAGTACCAGGAATTTTGCTCCATGTCTTGGAGGCCAGCCACACATGCTAGGGGAAAAGGGAGCTCAAATAGAGAAGGGAGCACCAAATGAAGGGTGTTGGGAGAAGCATACTGAAAGTAGACTATAGACCAAACATGATTGCCACTCAATGCCTCTTTTGCAAACCACAACACCCAAAAGGAGAGAGAGAACAAAAGGGAATGCCCTGCCACAGAGGAGGGGAGGAATGGGGGGGATGGGGGGCAGGAGGGATACTGGGACCCGTGGTGGTGGGAAATGGGCACTGGTGGAGGGATGGGTACTCGAACATTGTATAATTGAGACCCAAGCACAAAAATTTGTAAGTCTACAACTGTACCTCATGGTGTTTCACTAATAAAAATTAAAAAATTTTAAAAAATTAAAAAAACAAAGATAGTACAGGGAGTGAGGTACTTGCCTTGTATGCACCCAACCCTGGTGCTCCCTTGCATTGCGTTATGTTGCCCTGAGTACCACTAAGAATAAGCCCTAAACACAGTCAGGTTTGGTCCAAACACTTGCACCCTCTTAAAAAATGGTTTTTAAATGAATAATTTCTAAGAGGGGGAGGGAATTTTTAAAAAAGTATTTGAATTATGCCTAGCATACCTAGTTCTATAGTCAACAAAATCTAAAGACTTTAAAGTGTTTAAGCTTTTTTGAAAGTTATAGTCCAGTTATAGTCCAGTCCAGTTAACCCACAGATGTGATCTTTGTTCAGGGGTCCAAGATGTATTGCCCGATTTGAATTTATTGGAGACCAGAAGGATGAATTAAGTTTCTCAGAGGGAGAAATTATTATTCTTAAAGAGTACGTGAATGAAGAATGGGCCAGAGGAGAACTTCGAGACAGAACCGGAATTTTCCCCCTTAACTTTGTGGAACTAGTGGAGGATCATCCCACCTCTGGTATACATGTTCCAGGTGAGTATACGGAATGTGATTTTCTGTCATATTCTATGCTAACTCGCATAAATTAGTAAGAGCCTGACATGTGGCTTAGTGACAGACTGCTTATCTTGTTTGTATGAGGCCCTGGAATTGATCCCTGGTACCACAAAACAGCAACAACAAAAGAATGCATACTCTTAGTGGAATCGGGAGTCTTGGGAGTTTAAACAAAAGGATGCCATGCTACCAGTCTGGGGCCTGAGAGAGCTCAGAGGACTGGAGCACAGGGCCCCAGGTTTGATCCCCAGCATCACATGCTACCCCCTAGCACTCTATCAAGAGCCGCTCCCTGCAAAGAAGGAACAAGTAATAGGATAACATTTAAACTATATGATATCCATAATCCCGCCTGCACAGCAGAACCTGGCAAGCTACCCGTTGCGTACTTGATATCCCAAAAATAGTAACAGTGATGGTCCTCATTCCTCTGACCCTGAAAGAGCCCCCAATATGCCATCGGGCTACTCTAGCACATGACAGGGACGAATGGAGACATTACTGGCACCCACTCAAGCAAATCGATGAACAATGGGGTGATAGTGATAGTGACAATCCATGTTATCATATTTTTTAAGTGTAAGAAAAATGTACTTTCAAAATTGTGATTTGGGGCTGGAGAGACAGCACAGACAGAAAAACACCTGCCTTGCATACTCACCCCAGTTTGATCCCCAATCTCGGTGATTCCCTGAGCACTGCCAAGTGTGATCCCGCCCCCCCCCCCCCAAAAAAAAGTGATTTTATGGAACTGGAGAGATAGTACAGAGCTAAGGTGCTTGCCTGTATGTGACTGACTCAGCATGCTATATAGTCCCCCGAGCACTAGGAGTGACCTCTGAACATGGAGCCAGGAGTAACCCTTGAGTACTGCTGGGTATTGCCCCCAGATCCCGAAAGAAAAAAATAAAAATAGACTTTTTGTTTATCTGGATTTCTTTTTTCTTTTTGGGTCACTCCCAGCCATGCTCAGGGGTTACTCCTGGCTCTGCACTCAGAAATTACACCTGGCTGTGCTTGGGGGACCATACAGGATGCCGGGGATTGAACCTTAGTGGGCCACATGCAAGGCAAACACCCTACCCACTGTACTATCACTCTGGCCCCTGTTTATCTCTTTTAAAGATGGTTTAGTGTTGGGGCTGATGAGATCTTCTTGAAACCTATTTCATCCTTCAAGCATGTCTAGGAGGAATGTCTGAGGGCAGAACCAGGAGTAAGCTCTTGAGTGCTGCTGGGTGTGTCGGGGGGGGGAGAGAGAGAGAGAGAGAGAGAGGGAGGGAGGGAGGGAGGGGCAGTTAGTGTTTAGAAAATTATATTAGTCACTTCATACCAAAGTAGGGAGAGAAGAATCGTAGACTTAAAGCGAGAGAGAACTATAGACTTTCAAGAGACATGGACTAGTGTCTCTTTAATGTGAATCTTTTTAGAGTCAGGGATCAAGTCCAGAGAGGGTTGTGCCTGACCAGTTACATGCCATTTAGTGAAGAGGGTGGTTTGCAATCCCATGCACTCACTTGATCTTCTCTCCCTTGTATCCACGGTGGCCTTTCTCCAATACTGTATTGTGTATTCAAAAAATAAAATACGAAAGGCCTCAGTGGGCCTCTCCCCTGCCTCCTGTGTTAGGTGATCTCGGGACACTTTCCCTACCCTAGGGAGGCCAAGGGCAATGGGCGGACAAAGGAGGGAATAAGGAGCAGGCTGGTTGGTATTAATTGCAGTTTATGCCATCTCGAGTCTCCATTCTCCTCTGATTCTCCTTCTGCTTCTGATTCTCCCCCATGATCTTCTCTCCCCCGATCCCCCTCATCCTCCTTTTGGATCCTGCTCCTTCATTCTTCTCCTTCCTGCTTCTACCTCCCCCAGCCCACTCTTACAGCCTTAGTTAAATCCCAAAGCATGAGGGGTTGGGGTAACAATTATACATAGGTATCATCATACAATCAATGGATATAAGGTCCCTTCCCTCAGGGGAAGCTTCTTCTAGGACAGACACTCACCCAGCAAGACAACTGGCCTAAGGGCAAAATATGGGTGTGTTTCTCCTCTCCTTAGTCCAACAAACATATAAACAGTCAGAGATACAATCTGCTTATAGGATTGCTCTCCTGGGGCCATCTCGCTATAGGTCTCAGACTACAGTGCTCAGGCCAGATTAGTCTTTCCTAATCCTAGCAGGGTCCTAATCTCATTGTTACTTTTTGTATCATGACAGCATTTGTCCGTGACCATGCTCTTAACTTACAGTTAAGTACTGTGGCGCTTTGGCCAGGCCCATTTCAATGCCAAGGTAGCTCACAGCTTGCCATGGGTCCATTCAGTCCCTCGTCGGAACCCTGCTTTTGGGGTGCTAGGAACTAAGGGCAGCTGAGGCTTAAGTCAAGAAAGCAGATGCCCAGGAGTGAATATTATTCGGAGTCAGTTAACTCCCAAGTTACAAAAGGATAATATTAACTGTCTTCCTGTGTCTATACAAAAGGGACATAAGAGAAAGAGAAAAGCAATATTTCATTCACAAATATAAAATCATAGATTTCTGAGGAATCTGACCTTTACAAGTTAATTAACAGAGTCTGATAAAGGGGAAAAAGGTGATAGACTGGTTGGATTAGAGAGCACAGAGAAGTTACGGATAAGCAAAGGAGTGCGAGTGACTTGGAAGCACTGTGATGGGTGTAAACCGATAAATCTAAGCTCCCTGTAGCAAGGGAGAAAGGACAAACCATTGTTATCCTACACTATATATATGATCTTTGCATTTAAGGTTTTGACTTTTTTTTTTTCCTTAATGTAGGCACAAAGGTAGGACTGAAGACCAAAACAGAAGATTCTGGTGCAAATTCTCAGGTAGGCCACTTCTCATGCAAACTCTCAAGTGGATAACTACAGTGAAAGCCAGGTTTTTAACTTTGAGATAAATATTAAAGAGAATTGTCCACAGAAGTGTTATTTTTTAATTTATATTGCAATTCATATTTCTTTTTTTTTTAAATTTTTATTTATTTATTTATTTTGCTTTTTGGGTCACACCCAGCGATGCTCAGGGGTTACTCCTGGCTCTGCACTCAGGAATTACCTCTGGCGGTGCTCAGGGGACCATATGGGATGCTGGGAATTGAACCCGGGTCGGCCACGTGCAAGGCAGACGCCCTACCCGCTGTGCTATTGCTCCAGCCCCGCAATTCATATTTCAATGTGCATATTGCAGTTCATATTTCAGTTCATATTGCAATTTGGAATAAAGAATTAAATAGAATAAAAAATTAAATGCAATTTGGAATAAAGAATTAAATGGTCAATATCTTTATGGTATATAAATCTCATAGAAATGTTTCAGAAAAACATGTAAGTCTTTAGAGAAAAGAAGAAAAAGAAATCTTATTAGAGATAAAAGAGACAGTGCAGGTTGTTGATATTTTTAAAAAGATATTTGAGGACCAGGGAGATAATACTGTTGGCCAGGGTGCTTTCCTGTACCCAATATGGTCCCCCGAGCCATTCAGGAATAATCCCTAAGTGCAGAGCCAGGAGTAAACCCCATTGTGTGTGTGTGTGTGTGTGTGTGTGTGTGTGTGTGTGTGTATGTTATGCAGAAATTGCCTTATAAAGCAGCATATAAATAACCATCCATTGCTAACATTCTGTCAAATTAACAAAGATTAACAAATGTGCAGTAAAACTGAAAAGCAAGAAAGTAATCTCAAGAGTGTTTAAAAAAAGAGTGGGGCTTGAGGTTGGAGCAATAGCACAACGAGTAGGGCATTTGCCTTGCATTCAGCCAACCCCGGTTAGATTTCCAGCATCCCATATGGTCCCCTGAGCACCTCTAGAGGTAATTATGAGTGCAGAGCCAGGAGTACTGTGCATCATCAGGTGTGACCCACAAAGCCAAAAAAAAAAAGTGGGACAGAGATTTAGTTCGAGGCTTAAGGTGTTTGCCTTGCATGCGGCCAACCTGGATTTAATCCTCAGCACTGCATGTGGTCCCATAAGATCACAGGAGTGACCCTGGAACACAGAGCCAGGATTTGCTCTGAGCACAGCTAGGTGTGGCCCCCATACCAAAGTAAATTAGTTAATAACTTTTTAAATATAAATGGGAAACTATGGCCTGGAGAGATGGCTCTGAGGGCTGGAGTGTGTCTTTGCATCCAAGAAAGAGTCTAAGGTTTGAGCTGTCACCACACTGTTCCCCCAGCACTGCTGGGGATACACCTCAGCATCCCTTGGCTGTGGCCTCCACAATAAATAAACAAATAAATACATTTTAAAAGAAAATAAAGCTTAATAATATGAAACTATTACCCAAGGCCAGGGAAAATAGGTCAGGAGGACTGGTGTCAATGGATGGAAATTACCACAAGGGTGTGAGAGGTGGAGGGTAGTTAGGATAGAGGAGGACCCATTATGACATTAGTTGGAGGTGATCACTCTGGACAAGAACTGAATGTTGAAAGTAGGTAAAGGGATATACATAATAACCTTTTGCATCTGTATTGCAAACCTCATTTTAGGTATGAGAGAGAGAAAACGGAAGAGAAGGAGAGGTGTCTGCCATAGAGGCAGGCTGGTGTGGGCTGTGTTTTAGGGGAATGGGGGTACTGGAGATATTGGTGCTGGGAAGTTACACTGATGGAGGGATGGGTGTTGGAACATTGTATGACTGACACCCAATCATGAAGAGCTTTGCAATGCTCTATCTCATGATGAGTCAATAAAATAAAAAATTATATTTCTTTTTTTTTAATTAGTGAAACACCATGAGGTACAGTTGTAGACTTACAAATTTTTGTGCTTGGGTTTCAGTTATACAATGATCAAGTACCCATCCCTCCACCAGTACCAAATAGGAGAATAAAATAAAAAATTAATATTAAAAAAATTTTAAAGAAAGTAAAGTTTATTACTATTCCTATACTAATATTTTTTCCTACCTTAAATTTTTTTTAAGATAAAGCTTTACTAGCCATATTAGTTGATTCATTATAATAGGAAAAAACTGAAAACAAATATGGCCCTTTTTGGGAGAATGTTCTGAGGCCATGCAAAACTAAATCTGTAAAGTAAAAGGCATGAGTGAAAAACTTATAGGAAATTGAATAAATAGCAATTAAAAAAATCTAGAAGGAATGTATTTAATCTGTACATGTAATGTTCAATTGCCTGTGGGCAGTTAGGTTATAGGTAGATAGATTTTTTTTCTCCGTTCATTATATACTTCCTGACTTGCTGAATGTTTTGAAACATTTGTACTCTTTTTGTAAGGGAAAGAGAAAATTTAGACTAAAATTAGCACATGTAGAACTTGATTTTGGAAGCATTTTAACTAAATAGTAGTGTGAGTTTCTGTTGTTTTCTGTGATGTTTCTGAAGGTAAGCTTGATGGGGTCATTGTCAGATTGTCAGCAAATTGAACTTTACATGTATCTTAATTCTTTTATCCCTACCTCTGCAGTTGCCTGCACTTCTTGGTAGTGATCACCTTCCTTTCTGCCTGTCTATCTTCCTGACTGTCTTCTTGCCTAGTTCCTACCTGCCTTCCTTCCTTCTTCCCTCCTTCTCCATCAAGCTCAGGTCGCCTGCATGCTTGTCATGTACTTTACCACTAAGCCACATCTCTGCCGCAATGAGTACCATTCTCTCTGGTTTTTCAACTGCAGGAGCAAGATTGCTATATTTCAGTGGTTCGTTTACATGATTTGTTGTATTGTTTTATAAGCCATCAGTTGTTGAGAGTGAGATGTGCAGGCATGGTGCTAAGTGTTCTCCATGCATCATCTCAGTTCAGCTCCACAGCCAGCAATCAAAAGATTAGAATCTTGCCCAGTGTCACTCAGCCGGGAAGTGGCAGGATTGGCTCTGGAGCCTAGGCCTGTCTGACCTCAGGACATTGCTCTTAGCTTTGTTCCTTCCTCCCATCCTGAGCGACTTAAACATAGAATTCCCATTCACACTTGGCAGACACACCTCATCATAGACCACAATCTTCTTATTATGTGTTAAAGATAAAAGCTCCATGTAGAACTTCTCGATTTCTCTTTCATCATAATGAGATGTTGGTGCGTAGACAACGAAGATAGAAACTGCAGGCAGTGAGCCACATCTATTCAAATGTAAACGTCCGATTCGGGTTGTTAGACATTCGAATGAATCAATGCTCTTGGCCAAGTTTGTGTTGACAAGGACACCGACGCCTCCAACACCTCTTTTATCGCATGTTCCGAGAAACAATTCTTCTCCAGTGTCAAAAACGGCATGGTGAGATTCGTGCTTTCTTGTCTCGGTCAAACCAATGATGTCATACTTGATCATTCGCGCTTGTACCATCAGGTCCTCGATGGATGCATCTGATGCTAGCGTACGTGCATTGAATGTACAGACGATCATTTTTGTCTTCCTTCGTAGTGGCAGCCTAGGTCGGCCTTGAGATTTTGTCGGCCTCTCCTTTCTCATCCTTCTCAGTGCTGCCATGTCGGTGAAGCCTTCAGGGTCAGGTGAATGAGACCAGTTGTAGTTCCTGGTTTTGGCATATCGAATACACAGCGAATAGCTTGCCAGGCTCTTCCGTGCGGGCGGAATACTCTTGGTAGCTTGCCAGTCTTTCCGAGAGTTCTATAAAGAAGACCACACCTTCTACAAGATCATTGTGGGTGATTTTAATGCAAAGATAGGACCGAGAAGATCAGCTGAAGAACTTCACATCGGGACCCATGGCCTAGAATGGAACGAACAGGGTGAGAGACTGTCTGAGTTCATCATGTCGACCAAGACCATTCATGGTAACTCACAGTTCCAGAAGGCAGAATCTAAACGATGGACATGGGAGTCTCCCGGTGGATGACTCCACAACGAAATAGACCACATCATATTCAATCGACGGTTTTGCCTGACCGATGTCGCTGTTGTCCCAAAATTTCGAACGGGATCGGACCACCATCTCCTTCGTGCAAAATTCTACTTCACAGAGCGGGGAGAAAGGGCTGCAAAGTTCAAAAAGAGAACTCCCAGAATGACCACCAACTGGGAACTCTTTGGTACTATTGCGGCAACATGGGAAGATGCCATTGTTGACAACATTGACGAGGAATACGATCGACTGGTTCAGCACCTCCATGAATGTGCTAGGAACGCCAAGAGAGAGATAGCCACAAAAAATCGCCTATCTTCGAAAACTCTTGAGCTAATTCGCCAGCGTGGTTTGGCGCATGCCTCAGGCAACCGCAAGCTAACGTCCGAGCTCGCAAAGCAGTGCAGAGATGCGATCAAGGAAGACCTCAAAGAGAGAAGAGCAGAAGTACTGGTAGATGCGGCAGAAGCCGGGAAAAGTATTCGTAACGCCCGCCTGTCCTTCGCCAACTATAAGACTAAGATAACTGCCCTCCGACGTCCTGATGGATCCATCACATCCTCCAGAATGGCAATGGAGAAGATTATCCATGACTTCTACTCAAATCTCTTCGATAGCCATGTCCACTTGCCCACATACCAAATTCCACAGGATGGATATGTCGTTCCCAACGTTCTCCCTTCCGAAATCCGACACGCCATTTCGTCAGTAAAGAAACAAACAGCACCCGGCCCAGACAAGGTCAGACCTGAACACCTGAAGAACCTGCCGTCAGTACTCATCAATACACTGGCTCGGCTCTTCACTCGCTACCTGTCTGAATGCAAGGTTCCGTCCCAATGGAAAACCAGCAGGACCGTACTACTGTTCAAGAAGGGAGACATCCATGACATTGGCAACTATCGCCCCATCTGCCTATTGTCTGTCATCTACAAGTTGTTCACTCGAGTCATCCTAAATAGGATTGGCAGAACACTAGATGAAGGACAACCATGCGAGCAAGCAGGGTTCCGCAAAGGATTCAGCACCATCGACCATATCCACACAATAACTAAGCTCATTGAGGTTTCTCGGGAGTTCAAGATGCCGCTCTGTTTAACGTTCATTAATTTAAAGAAGGCCTTTGATTCTGTTGAGATGGAAGCGGTCATTGAAGCCCTAGCCAATCAGGGCATTCAAGCCCAATACATCAGGATCCTCCGTGAGCTCTATTGCGGATTCACTACCAGGATCTCACCATTCTACAAAGAAGTGATCGTTGATGTCAAGAGAGGGGTGCGGCAGGGTGATACCATTTCACCGAAACTCTTCAGTGCCACCCTCGAGAACATCATGCGACGACTGGAATGGGAAGGAATGGGAGTGAAGATAGATGGTCGGCAACTACACCACCTCCGCTTTGCTGATGACATTGTTTTAATAACACCAAACATCAGCCAAGCGGCACAAATGCTGGCTGACTTTGACCGTGAGTGTGGAAAGGTAGGACTACAGCTGAATCTTACGAAGACAATGTTTATGAGAAACAGCCTTGTTCCTGATGCCCCATTCGCTCTCAGTGGAACGACCATCTCAGAATGCAACAGCTATGTGTACCTAGGTCGAGAGGTCAACATGACAAATGACCTGGCACCCGAGCTGCGCAGGAGGAAGAGAGCGGCTTGGAACGCTTTCAAGAGCGTCGAAGAAATAACTAAGAGGACGAAGAACCTCTGGCTCCGGGCACATCTCTTTGATTCCACTGTTCTTCCTGCATTAACATATGCCTCAGAGACCTGGGCCCTATGCAAACAAGATGAGAACGCTATTCAGGTCTCCCAAAGAAGAATAGAAAGAGCTATGCTTGGAATATCACGTTTCACTCAAATGAGAGAACGAATCCGGAGTTCTGACATCCATCAACGATCAAGACTCAGGGACGCTGTCTCGTTTGCCAAGGTGTCAAAAATCAGATGGGCTGGTCACGTAATGAGATTTAAAGACGACCGCTGGACTAGAGCTGTTACCGACTGGATTCCACGGGATGTCAAAAGACCGCGTGGCCGCCCACCTACCAGATGGTCAGACTTCTTCGTCAAGATCATGAACGATCGGTTTGAGGCCCTTCATGTTCCCGGAGCGAACAGATGCCATTGGGCTACACTAGCACGCGACAGGGACAAATGGAGACGTTACTGGCGCCCGCTCGAGCAAATCGACGACTAACGGGAAGTTAAGTGATTAAGTGATTAAGTGAAGGATAAAAGCATTTATGTTGGAGTGTTGCATCATACTAACCCACATTTGTGTGCTTATTCTGCCAGCCTTAGGGCCATCTACGTCTGAAATGAAAAGTACAATTAATAAAATCATATGCCCTGGGACTTGATAGCTTCTAAATCAAGTAATGACCTGGGAATGAGCAGACTGTCCATTTGGGTTTGGTTTGGTTTTGGCACCACACTTGGCAATGCTCAGAAATTACTCCTGATCTCCGGGATCACTCCTAGCAGTGCTTGGGGAACCTTATAAGATGGGAACTGAGCCTGGGTTGACTGCAAACAAGGCAAGCACCCTTACCCACTGTACTGTCTCTCCATCCCCTGCCCTTTCTGATCCTCCTAATTTAGGTCAAGGGAGAGTGTCACCGACAACAGCTTAACTTTACCAGGAGTTCCCATAGTGTCATAAATACTATGCATATAAATACTATGTCCTCTTTCCTAATTTTTAAATGCAGCTAATCTTAATTTAATAACTAATAGATCTTAGCTAGACAAATGGTTTTTTTTTTGCCTAAGTATTACTTATCCATTATAAGCAGAAAGGCCACAAATGCTATCATAAATATCTTTAAGAAATATATATTTTTTAAAAGTCACTAAAATTTTTCTTTCTGAAACTTGATGGCAACAAAAACTGTTGGTTGATTGAAAGACTTCAGGCTTTGAAACCTTATGTTCCTTTAAGACAGGTTGTTCCCACTACTTTGTAGCTTTATAGAAGTCAATCTTACATAAAACCTCATGTTTCTTACCAAACTTCTGATTTGTAACAGGATAGCAGTGTATCTGGAGAATGGTGTGAAGCTCTTCACAGCTTCGTGGCAGAGACCAGCGACGACTTATCCTTCCAGAGGGGGGACCGGATCCTCATCCTCGAGCGCCTTAACTGTGACTGGTACAAGGGCAGACTGCGCAGCAGGGAGGGCATCTTTCCAGCAGTCTTTGTGCGCCCCTGCTCAGGTATGTTAACTACATGAAGTGAGTCCCAGACTTGGGAGAGATGATCAGCAGGTCCTTGAATAAGGCTGGGTTTTTTTTCTACATTTTTGGGGGCGGGTACAGGTGGGGGAGCACACCCCTGAGTGTGCTCAGGGCTTACGCCTGGCTCTGCACTCAGGAACTCGAGGAACCATGTGGGGTACCAAGGTTGAACCCAGGTCGGCTCTGTGAAACGCAAACATCTTACCCACTGTAGTATCTCTCAGGCCCCCAAGGCTGTTTGAATTTTTTTTTGTTGAGAAAAAAATCCACCCTTTCCCTGTCACCATCTGTTTGGAGTTTGCGTTTTCTCTCTGTGTCTGTGTGGCTTTTCTCTGAGTACTCCAGTTGCCACCCCCCCCCCCAAATTTCAGGATTGTGCACGAGTCTTTCTGGCGAGTTTCAGTGGTTCCCACTGGAGCAAGTTAGGTATGATGTGCCCTGCCTGTGATGGAAGAGCCTTCTTGTGCAGGCACAGGATCCACAGTTGGAATAAGCGTGCTGGAAAAATATAAACAAATGAATGTAAGCAAATGATTATTGAATAATTAAAGTGTTTGCAGGGGCAGAGTGATAGTACACTGGGAAGGGCACTTGCCTTGCATGTGGCCAGCCCAGGTTCGATCCGCAACACGCCAAGCCCTGCCAGTAGTGATTCCTCAGCACAGAGCCATGGGTAAGCCCTGAGCACTGCCAGGTGTGGAAAAAATAATAATAAAAAAAAACTAAAGTGTCTTTGGTCTTTATTTAGAAGTTTAGTAATATTTTTGTGACCTGAAATATACCATAGGAAGTTGCTTGCATCACTTAGCCTTTGTTAAAACTGGTTTTGTGAGCATTTGCTTAAAGTTGCCATTCACAAGAACCTGCCAACATGATGTAACACTGACATTAAGCAAAGAGTTTTCTTGTATTCCTGTTCCCTTTGGACATGCTCAGTTTAAGTTATTTGGTTCTTTTCCACTTTAAGGTTTTTGCTATAGTCAAAAGAGCTGATTTACAAAGTTATGCAAAATCTTTTTGTAAACTTGGTTGGATTAGCAGTGGGGAGGGGGCCTAACTACAGGCCTCAGAGCTAGTTCAGAGGACTGAGAGTTTGCTCTGCAGGGGAGGGGGCTTCGTTCAGTCCCAAGCACAGCACGGTCCCCAAGCTCTTGAGGTAGCTCCTGAGGACAGCTGGGTGTGGCCCAAAAGACAAAAAGAAACAAGAAAAGCCTTCACTTACAATGGCCACTTTCATCCATTACAGTATTTTTCTGCTAGGAGATCATCTATCATCTTCTTGAAAGTGAAATTCAAAATTAATCACAAAATTTCTGAGAATGACAAAGGAATTTCCTAAAATGTTAGATTTGTGTTTTAATTCTGTGCTGTTCTATTTATTTGGATTTTGGTATCTTTACAGCTGAGGCAAAGACGACGTCTACTTTAGCATTGAAGGGGAGGAAAGCCAAAGCCTTATATGATTTCCATGGAGAGAATGAAGATGAGCTTTGCTTCAAGGTCAGACTGTGTATCTTTTTTTAACTGCAATAGACAGCAAAAAATCTTGAAATGGCTTCCAAAGAAAAGTAGAATATCTAGTGGAATGCTGATTATTAGCTAAGAATGAATAGATCTCTGACCATAAACCTAAGAGAATTAAAGGATGCGAATAGGGTAAATGTAATCATTAGAAAGGCACTTAGATACTTAAGGAAAACCTTATTGGCTTGATAGACCCACATTCCCAGAACTAATTCCTTATTCCAAGTCCTTATGCTATCATTGATGGTGTCAGTCTCAGTGATGCTGAAGTTCCCATGGTGGCTGCAGTAATGGATAACTCTGTCCATGGCCCCTGTGGCCTGCATCTGTAATGTCTTACCAACTGGTATAGCAGTCAGGTAATACTTGCTACAGGCAGACCCAACAACTCTTGTCCACAAATACACTGACTGGAGACCAGTGAGTTAGTACAGCAAGTGGGGCCTTGCATATGGCTGACCCAGCTTTGATCCCTGGCACCACATATTGTCCCCCAAGCATCGCTAGCGGTGATTCTGGAGCACAGAGCCAGGAGTAAGCCCTGAGCACTGCTGAATGTTGCCCAGAAACGTAGTATAAAATGATGTTATTTTCAAGCAATACAAAATAAATGACTCAGCATCTGCCTTTTGGGCTAGCTTGGGTGGTGGTGGGAAAACTCAAAATAATTAATGGTGGCGGGAAGGTTTAATGGTGGTGGGGTTGGTGTTGAAATTTTTTTTTTTAATCTCTTTGTCTTTTTTATTTTCTTTTTGGGTCATACCCAGCGATGCTCAGGGATTACTTTTGGCTCTGTACTCAGGATTCCTCCTGGCGGTGCTCATGTGGGAAGCCAGTGATCAAACCCGGGTCTGTCGTATGCAAGGCAAACACCCTCCCTACTGTACTGTGGCTCCGGCCCGGTGTTTAAATATTGAATGTAAGCAATTACTGTGAACAACTCCTTGAAAATAAAATGCAAACAAACAAAAATGATGTTATTTTGAGCTGGAGCGATAGTACAGCAGGTAGGGCACTTGCCTTGCATGCAGCCAACCTCGGTTCGGGGACCTTCCATATGTTCCCTCCAAGCACCATCAGGAGTAATTCCTGACTGGAGAACCAGGAGTAACTCCTGAGCATCGCCGGGTGTGGCCCCATAACAAACAAACAAAAAAAGATGTAATTTCTAAAAATATATTTCTCAGACAAAATTGTAAATTGGTAACCCTACGCCAGTTCCTTTTTAAAAAGATTAAAAAATTCTTGATCCTGAAGTTTTGAATGTTTGGAATTAGTCTAGTACTTTTAGTTCTCCAGTCAGTGACTCAGAGGTCTTTCCTATTGTTGTTTTTTGTTTATATGGGGGTGACATCGGGTGGTACTTGGTGGCAGCTGCCCAGCGTGGTGCTCTGGGACTCTGTGGTGCTGGGAATCAAATCCAGAGCCTCACACATTCAAGGCAAGCACTGAGTATACTCCCACCCCCAAAGTCTGATCCCTTTGTCTTTACGTAAAATGTTACTGAAAGTGAATTAACTGCATTTAAAATTTTGGGTATGTTATTTTGGCCTTCATTTAAGATAAACAATAATTTAAGATAAATTTTTTAAATTCACAATATTTTCCAGAAGATAGATTTTTTTTTCTATAATAACTGACTAAAAACAAGATACTTCTGGAGTTTTTAAGAGATTCTTCACTACTTGCAGCATTATTAATAACATTATTAATAAAATAATCAATAAAAATTTTTTCTTAGCCCTCATAAAACTGATGTGGTATGAACCATCACTTTAAAAAAAATAGTTTTGGGGCCAGAGACACAGTATAGTGGGTAAGGTGCTTGTCTTGCATATGGCGGACCCTGGTTCTATTCCTTTACTGCAGATGGGCCCCCCCACACACAGCCCATCCCCATGCACAGAGCCAGGAAAAATAAAGAGGATGAGAGGAAAGAGAGTTTTAATAAGGCATTATGGTATACTTTAGGAACCAGAAGAAACTTATTTTTTGAAAAAAAAAATTTGGTTAAGATTGTCACAGAATAAATGAAATTAATGACTTTTAATGATCAACATTCTTTTCGATTCTATTTTCATAAAGTAGGCCTTAAATCCATCAAATCATTTTCCCAGAAGGCAATGTACAAGGGCTACAAATAAATCCATTCAATCTGATTCTTTTTCATAGTTGAGCTAACATGGTTGCAGTGGTGGTGTTAACATTTGTGCTTTTGGTGTACGGAGGCACTGTTGGCCATCACCAAAATGCTGCAGAGCCTCCACTTCTGTCCTTGTATCACTTCCAGTCTGCCTTTTCCTCCCCCATCGCCCCACATCTTAGTAAACTCTGTTCTGTGTTCAAAAGTCCCAATTTCCATTCCAAGAATTAACTAGTTTCTAACATAGCACAACATGGTTGGATATTGTTTCTATATGTAACACATATGAATGATAGCACGAGCCAGGAAAGAGTAAGCCCTGAGTACAACCAAAGCCCCAAAGTTGGAATTAGAAAAATCATAGTAATATATATACACATATATATGATGATAATAGTATCCTTGGGGCCAGAGAGATGGCAGGAAGGATGATGGCAGAGTCCCAGATCTAGTCCCAGCACTGCCTGGTCCCCCATGCACTACTGTAACACCTGTACACTGCTGAGTATGACCCCAAAAAAACAAAATGACAGTACCCTCCTCTAAGACTATGGTGTTGTTTAATTCCTGTAAAGTACACAGACTAGAACAAGACATTCAGCAAATACATACTTTATACTTACTTTCTCATCTCAAAGTCTTTGCTGAAGTGTCACCTGCAGTGGGACCTTCCCTGGCTGTCCTAATGAGATGCCAATCCCATTGTTTGGGTTTCCTCAGCTGGCTTTGTCTTTCTTCTTCTCACGCTAGGATGATGTCTTTATTCAGTGTCATATGTACAGTGCCTGGAACAGTAGCTAACACAGAGTGAATAGTCAGTAAATAATTGTTAGATGGAAAACAGTAGCTAGCTTTGTTCTTTATTCAAGAAGAAGTTTTGATTAGGGGGTGAATTGGGGGTGCACAAAACATAAAATTGCAATGAGGCAAATGAATGGGCTTTGAGGAAACGAGGAATACAAGCAAATGCAGAATTAGGTATAGACTGTCTTTGTGATATATCATCTCTTAACACATCAAGACAAGTGAGTTGTGAAGAGAGTATCCTGCTTCATGTGAGCTGTGTTTACAGTGTTGCCACTGCAAATGGACCGGGCACTAGTCCAGGTCCTTGGCATCTTGAACAAAGAATTGAGTAAGACACATGAAACAGCAGGTAGAGAAAGGATTTGTTAGAAAGTGACAGTACATTTTATAAAGCAGATCTGGTGAGCAGAGTGGCTCAAGGCCCAGGGGACATATTTCAGGGTCTTTTTAAATTAAGTCTTGGAGGGGAATGTCCAGCATGATGTTGGGGTGATATATTGGGTTGTGGGGGACTTTTGGTGAGTCTTCATTGGGGCATGCAGGTTGGGCGACAAGAACTCCTAGGGACCATTGTTAATCTCAGTGGTCCCCTATCTGCTGGCAGTGACAACATGAAGAGCCTGGGAGGAGTGTGGCCACCCTACTTGCAGCCTGCTGAGAAGTACCAGACTGACAGTTGGTGGTCTTTCCATTGTCCTTGTTCCCTCTCTATTCTGCCTACATCAACAGTCAACTCAAACTAATCACTGTTTCCACTTCCACTCTTCTTACAGGCTGGAGATATAATAACAGAGCTGGAATCTGTAGATGATGACTGGATGAGTGGAGAACTAATGGGAAAATCTGGAATATTTCCCAGAAACTATGTTCAGTTTATACAAGTCAACTGAAGGTGAAGTTTGACTGTCTTCCGTGGCCCAAGAACTCACTTGAACTATATCACTTTGACTATCAGATTTGTTTTTTGCACTATTTTTTTAAACTGAAAGAAATATCTATGCTGTACGTGGTACACTAGACTTTTCTGAGAGCAGAAAACATCTAGAACTTGTTAGCTTTCATTCCGATTAGAAAAGCACCCATGGAAACCCATGAGAACATCAAGCAGGATTAGCAAGGCAGACCCACACTCCCCCAGGGAAGCAGCTGGTGGCGCCGTAGCATGGGGAGGCTTACAGGCAGAAGTTGCACTTGGACATCCATTCCCATCAGCACACGGAAATTAACCACACTTCCTCACTCTTGACTTTTAGTTGAAAAAGAGGATGTTTGCTATTCTACATGCTTTAACTATCAGGACATGGTTGGTAATTGTAAATTCATTTTTGATATTCAAATTAAACTAAACAGCTTGAGCACATCATCCTTATTACCAGGGTAGATCCTTGCTTCAGGAGGAGCTAGTTTATTGACTGACAGGAAACTTTGCAATCACGGGGTGAGTCGGCTCACTCTCACCAAACTCTCTGTATGTTGCTGTTTCCCCTTTGTCCATGAATTTGAAGGGGTCTGAATTTGATGAATCTGGGTCAAAGAACCAGAACGGTCCTGAATTGCCTTGCTAACACAACTAACTCTTCCACACACCTGCTGTACTTATTTCTTTCTTCCATGTATACTTTATGTTAACAGGGTTATTAGAATGCACATTTTCTGAATCTGCAATCATTCTTTTGACAATTACTGGGACCCAAAGAAAAATTCATTTTCTTTGTGTTACCCCAGTAATACATTAAAGCTGTGTCTTGTTAGAGTGGTACATTATGAATCACACATATTCAGAATGCAGAGCAACTGTTAATATGGAAAACAATGCCAGCCCCACAAAACTCATTTCTTCCCAGTATAATCAGAATGAAAATTAATTTTAGAAGACTGAAGGCTGATATTTTCTTGTTTTTTTTCCCGCTAACTCAGCTCATCCCTACATAATTTTAGAGTAAATAAAAATCCAATTTCCTGATATATATTTTAAGCGTTCCTGGCTTATGACAAAAAGTGGTTCTTCATGTGATTGAATCCATTACAGTTGTGGGCTGCTGCCAGATAGGTTGAAGACAATCTTCCAAAAAGATCAATGGAATAGGATTTCATTGTAAATATAAAACATTTTTTCCAGCAATATTCATGACGTTCTTCTATTGTTAAGAAGACTTTCATATGCCTGGCCACGTTTTAGCTTTTATTGTTGTTTCCCATTGTCCAAACAGTTAGGCAGCCAGTGGTCACCAGGAACACTGCATAAGGGAGATGATTTTACTTTAGAAAGTACATCTTTCAATTACATCAATTACATCTTTCAGTTACATGGCCATATAGGAGCTTTTTTTCCCCTTACATGTTTAGGTAAAGAACATAATAAAATTTTGTCAATATCACTTGAGTAACTTCAGTGACAAATGAATGAATGACTTAAAGCATTAGCCAATTAAATTTCCATTTGCAGCAAGCTGGGTGCGGGAGGGGGTAGTAGGGGAGGTTGGAATAAAATGTGAGGTATATTTCTATGCCTGTGTAATTTTAGCATCTTACAATGAAGATTGTGGAAACCTGGTTTTATTGGAGAAAAATACTCCTCTTAAATTTTGGCTTTCTGTCAGCAGAATGATAAGTGCAATAGTTGTAAATCTACTTGACACTATAATAAACTGAACTTTTCAAATTCCTTTTCTCATGCTAGACTGGGTTTTGTGAGACTACAGGTTGTGTTGTATCTTTTCATCTCCAGTCCTTTGCAGTACTCTCAGTAAAGATTGATTGATTCCCTGGTTGGTTGGCTTGCTGGCTGGTTGGTTGGTGCTTGGGTACATAGATGGACGGATGGATGAGTGGATGAATGGATTAGGAAAATGGATGGATGAAGGAATGGACATGGACAGATGGCTGATAGTCACATAATAATACTAGATTGCATGTCAAAATCTAATCTTTTCTCTTTAATTTGTGGACAAAAATATATATTAAAATGAAAATTAGTTTGTTTTTTCTCTCCTTTGAAGAAGCCCACATTCTCTCTCTCTCTCCCTTCCCTCTTTCTCCCTCTCTCTCTCTCTATCTCCCTCTCCTCTCTCCATCTCCTCTTATATTTTCTCTAAATTTTCCAGTAAAAACTTGTTGCTTCACTAAAAAAAATTTTAGGTATGGGGCTGGAGCGATAGCATAGCAGGTAGGGCGTCTGCCTTGGATGTGGCTGACCCGGGTTCGATTCCCAGCATCCCATGTGGTCCCCTGAGCACTGCCAGAAGTCATTCCTGAGTGCATGAGCCAGGAGGAACCCCTGTGCATTGCCAGGTGTGACTCAAAAAGAAAAAAAAAAATTTAGGTCATTTCACATCATCAAATTGGATCCTCTTTTTCCTTTTTTGCTTGCCTTTTATTTCCCACTCAGTTGACAAGAAGCCATATGTTTCTTGGTATGGGTTTTTTAGGTACTTTCTTTTTAATTTGGTTCCACATCAACTGATGCTTTGGGAACCATGAAATGCCAAGGATTGAACCCTGGCATCCTGCATACAGACATAGAGAACACGTGCTCTTAACTTGTTGATCTATCTCTCTGGACCAGTGCAGGTGCTTTTTTATTCTATATGTTAATTAAGCATGATATTTTTATTCTCAGTGCATTTCATGAGGTAGAAATGTATTTTTCCTTTAAAAATTTTTAGATAAAATGATACCATTCCTTTAAGCCTCTACAAACTACACTCTTGAAAAAATTTTTTATTGTTAAACTAGAGAAATCATTGAATTTGTTCATAACCTTTTGAGCACTAAAATGCAGATTAAAAATGCTCTTTTTTTACATAGAGGGTCGATGTGTCCTTATGCTTCTAGAAATCTCTTGTTTTAGATAGAATCCAAAATATAATGAATATAATAATTCATAATACATTTTATCAAAATGTTTTATAACTGGCATTCCAAGAAACAAAATATCATTCTAACTCTACAGAGTTTAAGCAATCGTCATTTAGATGTGTTCCTTTTCATTTGCAGGACGGGGCTCTGAGTTATTAGGTGGCTCAGGGACCCCACCAGTGATTCTCAGCACCCAGGCCAGTGGGTCAGTGCACAGGCCCGAAGATGCAATGCTTCTTGCCCTGCAATGCCAGGATATCCAGGCCACCTTGGTGGTGCTCGAAGCCTTCAGGGATGCACCCCTTAGTGCTAGGGAGAGGGACAACATGGTACCAGGAATCTAACACTGGTTCACATTCTAGGCATGAGCCCTCATCACTGTGCTATCTTGATGTGTTCATTTTCTTAAGTCTTGAGAAACAGACCTAGAAAAAAATAGTGTTGGGGGGAAAAATTATGGTGGCTATATAGACTAAATATAAATGACATGTTCACTTTGGGATAATCATTAATGTTTTATTCCTTTTGATATCAAATGAACATGGATGAAATGATTCATAATTAAATGCTGTTAACGAATGTCATTGAATAAACCCTTTCAAGAGTGAATATTTTTTCAGATATTATTTTCTGACTTCCTCCGCCTTTCTATTTGACTGTAATTATAGAGGGAAACAAAATAGAGCCTAACTCAGACCACTACCACCATCTAGGGGATTCTCACCAGACTGCATGCTTTTCCTGCCAAACCACAGAAGATCCTCAGCCTGCAGTCTGTAACTGATATGCCCTGTCATGCAGGTATGGCAGAGTATAAAGCAGAAGCCAGCTCTGAAATCCCTGTACAGTTGTTTTCAAATGTATTTTGCTAAAGTGATGTATTTTTCTGCGGTAGTTTAACAAGCAGAATAGATCTTTTTCACTGTAGAAATTCTAACTGCTCAGCCATTTGTTAGCAGACAGAGTTACAGAAACAAATTAAAGCCTTGGGTTTGTTTGGCTTTTGTTTGGAGACCACCACACCCAGCAGTGTTTTGAGAGCTTGTCCTAGCCTTGTTCAGGGGAACATGCAGTTGGGGGATCTCGGGACTCCAGCATGCAGGGCATGTGCTGCAGCCATCTCCTAAACCCCAAAGCCTTACATTAATATCTTTCAAGAAGAAAAATTTCGGGGCTGGAGCAATAGCCCAGCAGGTAGGGCGTTTGCCTTGCACGCGGCCAACCAAGGTTCAATCCCCAGCATCCCATATGGTCCCCTGAGCACTGCCAGGAGTAATTCCTGAGTGCATGAGCCAGGATTAACCCCTGTGCATCACCGGGTGTGACCCAAAAAGAAAAAAAAAAAGAAAAGAAAAATTTCCTGCTTAGTCTCTTTAATGATGTTGCCTCGGAACTGAAGCATAAATTGATCTGTTCATAGGGAATAGGGAGCAGTCCCCCACTTAGAGAATATTCAAATGCTTGGAACATCAGACCTTGAAAAAAAGTGTGTCATAGGGCTCGGTTCTTCATAACAACAGTATTCCTGGACCTAAGTTTTCATACTCATGTACTAAACACCAGTGTTAGCATTTTGTAATGTAATAGGTTGGTCCAATCATTGTTAACCTAATGCATTTATATTACAAAGTCTGGGACAGATTCTGGATTTTCAAAAAGGAATTGTATGCAGTTGATGAATTTTTTTTGCTTTCTATTTTTTTTCCTTCTTGTTTTCGGGCCATACCAGTGGTGTTCAGGGGTTACTCCTTGCAGGTTTGGGGGACCATCTGGGATGCCAGTGAGCAAGCCTCAGACTGCTGTGTGCAGTCGATGCCTTACCCACTGGACTATCTGTCTGGTCCCATTCTTTTTTTTTTAATTTTTTGCTTTTTGGGTCACACCCGGCGATGCACAGGGGTTACTCCTGGCTCTGTGCTCAGGAATCACCCCTGGCGGGGCTCAGGGGACCATATGAGATACTGGGAATCAAACCCGGGTCGGCCACGTGCAAGGCAAACACCCTACCCACTGTGCTATTGCTCCAGCCCCTAATTCTTTATTTTCAATACTGCAAATTAGACACTAGCCAAATAAAATCTTTTCCGTAAATATTGTTTAAAATTCATAATTTATAAGGGAAAATTTACCCACTAGCTGTCTGTTCTCTTTTTTTTTCTCTCTTTTTAAAACGAGTTGACCAACAATCTCAAATTGGCTCATATTTAGCCCTTCACAATTAAAAGGACCAACTACATTGATTTCCGCTAATGTATTCAAGGCTAGCACCTGAAAAGCTGATTTGTTACTTTCTTTAGAGCCTGTGAGCATGTGACCACCGAACCTGAATCTAGTAAAACTCTTTTGTGATAAAATATATATGTTTAATTTTGCTTAAAATTCTTCCTGGGGGCTGGAGAGATGGTCCACAGAGCTGGAATGCATGCTCTGGATGCAGGAGCCCTTGATCTGCTCCCCAGAGCACAGCCTAGTGACTCCTGAACAGCCCACACACACCACACACACTACCACCACCACCACAATCTTTTTTAAAACCCTGCCTTTTAAGAAAATCCTTGCCCATGATGGGCAAGCTCCATTATGTAGTGACCCACATCCCAGCTCTGAGTTCAGAATTTCTCTTCCTTTCCTTTGTGCTGCAATTCCTCTCCGCTTCTCTTCTCTCCTTCCCCTGTCCCCTTTCTTTCTTTCTTTCTTTCTTTCTTTCTTTCTTTCTTTCTTTCTTTCTTCATTTTGTGGTTCTCTCTCCCAGTTTATCTTTGCAGCTTTCTTTTACCCCCTTCCCTCTTTCCCATTCTCATTTCCTAATTAAAAGTATTTACATATAAAAAATTATATTTGTTTTCCAGAGTTACACCTTTTATGTTGAATTTGTTATTTGAGTTCCTGTTACTTCAGAACCTTATCAATATTTGGCTTTGTCAGTGCATTAGTAGTGTTAGTTTAGACATGTAGGGTTATTTCTTTCTTTTAACACAAAATATAGTGCAAACAGGATACTAAGAACTAAATGACACCAGCAGTAATTTATTGACCTTGACTCCAAGACCTTAGCACAAAGACGCTTACTACTCTTCTCAGCATAATGAATTATGAAATTAATCACCCACTAAAAGTTAGCGTTTCAATATTTAAAAGTAAGGAAATATTACTAAAATTTGGAGGCACAACTCAATGCCTCTTTTGCAGACCACAACACCCAAAAGGAGAGAGAGAACACAGGGGATTGCCCTGCCACAGAGACAGGGGGGATGGGGGGATGGGGGTGGGAGGGATATTATCCATGGTGGTGGAAAATGGGCACTGGCGGAGGGATGGGTATCTGATCATTGTATAATTGAAACCAAAGCACAAAAAATTGCAAATCTACAACTGTAAAAAAAAATAAAATAAAGGGAAAAAAAATTTGGAGGCACAAAAATAAGATAAAGAATTTTGAGGCACATCAGTAGGACTGGTTATGTTTTCTTTTTAAAGAAGCATATGAGATACATGGCAAATATTTTTCACACCAGGAATTTGCCTAAAAGTAATTGTGGAAGATGCACAGAAAGCAGCCTGCCCCAGTTTAATGGATGCAGGCTAAACAAACTCTTGGCAGTTATTCAAAATATTTCCTTCATTCCAGAAAAAGCAAGACAGAGCTTTCCTGTTCATTTACCCACATAAACCATACCCCTCAATCCTATGAATATGATGCAAAGGTCGTGCGGTGGGTTGCATTACAGAAGAGGAGTGCTAAGTCTCACACTTTCCTAGTAAGTAGAAACAGTGCAACTCTTTTACTAGGAGGAGACATTACCTCACTCCTTAAGGTTACTCAGTAGGATACAAACACACCCTGAGAAATGGCCCCAGGGACAG